CTACTTTGATAGCCACCATTTTTTTAAATTTTTTGCCAAAGTATTTAATGTAGATTTTTTTCAAATGTAGCACTCAAAAGAACCAACTGAAATGCACAATTTGGGATTTTTCTCATGGTCCTATCTCTTAAAACAAAAAAGTTACAGCCAAAAATCAAAAAAAGTTTTACAAAGTAGCCCCGTTTGACAGTACCCCTTTAATACGGTTAGCAAGAAAAGTGGCATAACCCTACACTTGAAGTCATTGGTTCTACAGGGTGTCCCAGAACTCTCTACCAATATTTTAGGGCATTGTTCCTGAGTAAGAAACGTATCTAAATATCATATTTAAATTGTCCGGAAATCCTTAGTTATTCACACAGCCACCATTTTGTTTGATAAATTTGAAATTTTTTTATAATTTTGTTGTAGCTTTGCTTAGTTGTCATAAATGTTTGTGCGAAGTTTCAATTTTGTATCTTAAACTACATTATAGAAAAAAAATTAGTGAAAAAAAGTTGTGGCTGTGTGAGTTACTAAGGACTTCCGTACAATTTAAATATGATATTTAGATATGTTTCTTACTCACGTACAAAACCCTAAAATGTAACTAATGTTAATTACCTATTTTAATCCCTTAATCTAATCAAAATCATTTAGATCCTAACTATGGTAAGTTCAAAACCTAGATCTGATAATAGTCTGGTTGCCGGTCAAAAAACCTGGAAGTAAGGTCCACCCGAAGATTTATGGTGTTTTCTGTTTCTTCAAGACCTACATAACTAAAATCTGCAAGGTGCCACTTTGTCACCCTTGAGCAAATTGAAATATTCAAGATGGCGGCCAAGATGGCTTAAAAACTGTATATTTGCTGTATCTTTCCCTATAGAAGAGACAGGATAATAATTTTTGTGTCTAATTTTATGTTTTAAGGGTCAGAGAATACCAATTATTGATTATCATAGTAATAAAATACCCCCGCCACAGCAAACCTGCCGACTAAGCGAATTTCCAGTTGCCTGAATTGATTTTCAATTAAATGTATTTAATTAACATTAATTTTTATGAGTACTTAGGCTTGCTGCTACAGGGAGGGTAAAAAAGTGTTTTTTTTGTGAAATATTAATAAATTAGTATAAAATAAATAAATTTACCAATTTCGATCAAAATATATCCTAATATGAAAAATATATAAAATATAATCAAGAATAACATGTGAATTTTAAAATAACAATTATTTGTATTTTCTCTGTAACTAATAATGGTACAAATACACTTTGATATACTAAATTATTTGTTCTTTTAAGCTCTTTAAGAAGGTTTGAAGAGAAATTGGAAAATTTTGCGTTTAGAGGGTCAAAAATTAGAAAAACAAATTTTTACCCCATAAAACCCCACGTAAAACCCCGTTCCCATGGTCCGATCATGCTGGTTCGGTTTACTAATCCTGTATATCTGCTGTATCTTTCCCTATAGAAGAGACAGGATAATCATTTTGTGCCTAGTTTGATGTTTTAATTAGAAAATTACCCAAAATTATAAATCAATATAAGTTTTTAATAAATTTCCACATTAATTTGTTGCCAAGTTACCTTATCAACAATGTTTTCAAGTATTTACTTGACTTAAAACATAATATCTATGGTTTCTGAGGATAAGTGCTACATTCAAACAGAACACAGTCATCAAATCAGTTAACTTACAAGCAGTTCTCCTAATTGATGCTTGTGCTGTACTGGGGACAGTGCATTATCCTTCTTCAGGAACAGTGAATGACTTTATCAACTGCTTTTTAAATTATAGTTTTCTTGAATTAAGAAAAAAACACTGTTCTTTAGGCTAGTCAAAATACGGTCCAACATCAAACTTAAGGTAAAAGAAATAAAATATATTTCTTCCCCATATATTCCAAAATATATGGGATTTTGTCAAAAAAGGTGTCAAGAATATTATACTAAAAATCAAGAAAATCCAAGTGGTGGAAAGCCGCCATTTTTGAAAAAACTTGCGCCATATTGGATTTATGTAAGCTTTTAGTAAAACATCAATTATTTGACAACTAATCGTCTTAACGATTTGCGGTTTGTCTTAATAGATTCCTCTTCAAGTTTACTTTAAGATAATAATAACCTTATACCATTTCATTATTGATTTATTTAAAATAGACAGCTTTAAATTGAAACAATAGCAAATTTCGAAGATTTTTTTTGTAAAACCTTTAAATGTTTGCAAATACAAACTCAGGTGATAAGAACATTCATATTTTGTGGCTCTTAAAAGAATCTGAATACAATTTTCAACAATTATCAACCTCATATCAGTTTGTATATTGCTTTGAAGATATATTATGGGATATATTGTTATTAGTCTTCAACTTGGAACGCTAGTCGTGACGCGGGCTGCACCACTACATCTAGTTCGATTAAAATACACTTTGAGGTGGGAAAAATTGCTTTGAGAACATTTAAAACATATTTTGGAATCATACATTCATACATATAGGGCAATGTATAAAAAGATCTGACAAAATCCTAGCATGAGAACACTGAACACTGTTTTTCATAATATGTTGGTGCAGACAAGCCTTGTATGGTTTTTGCACCTATTGTATAATATGCATGTATTCATTATAGTTCAATAAATAAATTGATTGATTGATTGTTTGATTGATTGAAAAAGTTGGGGTTTTGAAACATACCAAAATTCAATTTTTCATAATAGACAATTACATATATGTGTCCGTGAACACGATAACTTGAGTAATTTTTATACAATTTTGATGAAATTTGGTTTGAAGGTGTAAGGCAGGATAAACTTGAATGAGTTCGAGAACTAGCATGATCGGACCATGGGAACGGGGTTTTACGTGGGGTTTTATGGAGTAAAAATTGTTTTTTCTAATTTTTGACCCTCTAAACGCAAAATTTTCCAATTTCTCTTCAAACCTTCTTAAAGAGCTTAAAAAAGCAAATAATTTAGTATATCAAAGTGTTTTTGTACCATTATTAGATACGGAGAAAATTTAAATAATTGTTATTTTAAAATTCCTATGTTATTCTTATGGGGAATATTGTAAAATGTTGTAGTCTGCTTGTTTATGGATATATTTTGATCAAACTTGGTAAATTTATTTATTTTATACTAAGTTATTAATATTTCACAAAAAAAAAACACTTTTTTACCCTCCCTGTAGCAGCAAGCCTAAGTACTCATAAAAATTAATGTTAATTAAATACATTTAATTGAAAATCAATTCAGGCAACTGGAAATTCGCTTAGTCGGCAGGTTTGCTGTGGCGGGGGTCTTTTTATTACTAAGATAATCAATAATTGGTATTCTCTGACCCTTAAAACATAAAATTAGACACAAAAATTATTATCCTGTCTCTTCTATAGGAAAAGATACAGCAAATATACAGTTTTTAAGCCATCTTGGCCGCCATCTTGAATATTTCAATTTGCTCAAGGGTGACAAAGTGGCACCTTGCAGATTTTAGTTATGTAGGTCTTGAAGAAACAGAAAACACCATAAAACTTCGGGTGGACCTTACTTTCAGGTTTGGGTGAAAAATGCCTTTTGGCAACTAGACTATAACCCTGAAGTTTAATTTTGTCTTCTTATTTATTTATTTATTTAAGTGAAAAAAAAAATAGTTGGCATATCATAAATTTCAATAAGCTGCTTAAGCCTCACAAGGCATGTTTGCAACTTAAACTAAACTTTTTGTAACATACTTTCTTTATAATAGTTGCAAATGTTACAAAAGAACTTTTCTATTCAAAAGCAACATCATTGTCTTTATACTCATATTAAAATAGTTAATGGTAAATTAATTGTAAAACTCATTCCAATCTTTTTTTATTTTGAGCCACTGACTAATTCACCTCGTATAATGCTAACGTCTTGCAAGCTATGTGATGATTCATACTCTCAAAGTGCTAACTTGGCTACTGCAGTCCTGACACCGTAAGCAAAACTGAAAATAGGCAAACAATAGCAGGAATAGACTACACATGGCAACACTAAGATTAAATTTGACACAAATTATATTATTGACTAATATTGGTTTTATTACCTGTTGTCAGTTCCAAATTGTAACTTCCGTAGATGAACGACACATAAATAAATAATACTTTTGGTTGGATAGGCCTATCATGGGTACGAAACATTGTCGTTACACGACCGATATGTGTCGTGTGTTAAGTGTCATGTGTGTAAACTATCAACGAAGCTATACAAGCGGATTTTTTAATATACATTCCTGAACTGTATGCTTGACAATACCAGCTCGCCGAAACATGTAGCATCTATGGAAGTTACAATTTGGAACTGTCGACAGGTAATATAAAACCAACATTAGTCATTATCACATTTTCGGGCTACTACAATAAATTTTAATGGTACTATTGACACGTAGAACTTTACTTTATACATAATAGTTTATCTGATCTAAGACTAAGAAAGTATTAAACCCTTTACTCAGCCCAATAATTGTTTAACCTGTAGTCGGTGTTCTGCCACATATAATTGTTCCCTTTAAGAAAGATAGCACTTTGATCAGTGTAAACACCTGTTTAATTAACACAATATGATTGGTCAACAGTCACATCATGTTGTAAGCTAGAAATTTAAAATAAAATTAACTTTAACCCTTCAATTGTCAGCTTATGTTTCAGGGATGTATACTATAGTGATTGGTGTATAAAATCGAGTTTGCTATATACAGCTTCAAACTAGTTTTCTTTGATTTTATTTTAAAATTAATAAGGATGTCTTTAAAACACCTAGGCTTTCTGGCTTTTCTGATGAGCAAACACTGCCAACCAGACGATTCAATTGCTGCTCTAACTAAACACCAGAAGTTAACCGTACTAAAATGTTGTAACTAATGCCAGATAAAAAATGTTGGTAACTTCTCATCAATTACTTAATGAAACAGTCCCAGTCCCTTTCTGTAGACTGTATTTAGATGTATTGTAGGCCTAATTGCCAGGTGCTTGAAAATATTTTCCATGTTGCAGATAATGAAGAAATATTTGAAAATCCACAACTCAAAAAATTGCATATAAGTCTAAAGCACCAAAATGAAGATTGATAGAGGACGGATCAAGAAAAGCACCATTGAAGTTGTAAGTTAAAAATTTTATTACAGCATTATTAGTTTTTCCCCCTCAAAGGAATTGTTTACTGGGATAGGCTAGTATCTAAAAAACACATTGAGTTATATGGAAATTTGTTTAATGTGAGCGTTTAATTTAATGAAATGTGGGACAAAGTTATAAAATACATAATTTAAAGGTAATTTTCTAGTAAAATTCAGATCAAAAATACTTTTTTGATTCATAAAAATGACTTAAGCTGGGTTAGGAGTGTTAGTCTTGGCTATTTTTTCTATATCATTTTAAGAACCAATACTTCTCAAATTGGTACTTCTTGGGATTGGTATAGTAATAAAAAAGTCTTTTATTTATGCTGTTAGCATATGTTCTAGCGTCCACCACTAGGAGTTGCGTGTAGTTACGGCGCACACCACTGCAGTGTCTGCTGGTAGCATACGGCTCCTGCGCTCCTCGCCTGCAGTGGTGTGCGCCGTAACTACACAGCACTCCTAGCGGTGGGCACCAGAACCCTCCTTTGACAGTCTATACTTATTCTATTTGCCTATGGTACAACTATCTTAATCACTTAAGTTTTAGGGTTTTATTTTGTTGTGCCATTAAAAGAATAAAATAATTTTTGAATTTTAAAAAATACAAATAAGTGTTAAATTAAAATGCAAACTGTTATAGTTTTTTTTCCCAAAATCTTTTTGATTTATACTAAGTAAAAACATGGAATACAATAAGAAATGCAAATGAATATTATTAGAGTTCAATAGCTATGCCAGGGTAAGTTTTCTAAACCCAATTTGTTTCCAATTGCTTGAACAAGGCTTCATGAACTCCTATCTTCATGTTAATTAGACCTAGAAGATTGTATTTCTTTCAAATTCTTGCATTGTTGCTTAAAACTTAACAATTGCTTGTAAGACAGCTTGATAAATCAATTCACATCAATTAATTTTTGATACCCATCATTTTCATTTAACTGAAAAAAAACAAAAAAAAAAAACACCACACCACCTTATCACCTCTTATGTATCAGCAAACCTAAGCACTTATTAAAAAGAAAATAAATCTAAAAATTTTGAGGGAATATTTTTGTGAAAATCCAACCAGGTAAAAAATATGCTTAGTGTGCAGGTTTGCTGCGGCAGGGGTATTTTTTATTTGTAGCTGTTACTCAAGGTAGCCTGTTTATATAATGTAGGTATCTATCAAAACATATATTTATATATACATTTAGGCCTAACTCAATTTTCATGATCGCCTCATTTTTACAGCCTTCAGAGTGCAAAGCCTTGATTGACAAGTTAAGATCATGCTCTCGGCGAGAAATACTGGAGGAACTTAAAAAGATTGATACTTGGACTTTTGGAAAGTGTGAACTTTATCATTGGATAGATATCTTAGATCTGTGTGACTCAATATTGGAAAGTGCAACCACACGTGTGTCCCCCAAGAGCTGGCAGATAGCGTGCGATTTACCAGAAAATCATGAGGTAAGTGGATTCTGAAACACTAAAATTATGTAAGCTTATTTTTCTGTCGGAACACGCAACAACATACACTTCTTTTTGGCATGTTGACGGCAATTTGATAGGCTTTAACTAGAATTTAAGCTTGTACTTTAATTCCTAAGGCAATGGATTATGATTGTTATCGTTATTATGGATAAACATAGTCTACGAATAAGTTTTTTTCCCAATTGCTGATGTTCATAATTTAAACATTAGTCTATGTATGTATAAGCTTAACATTCTAGTAATTTTCAAATACATATCTATATGTCAACACCATGTAGTTAATACAAGAAATACGTATATTGAATATCACTTAATAGGAAATAATATGTAATTATTCCATTCTATGCAATATATATTCCAGCTTCATTTGATTTTGTTTGGAAAAGTGAACATGTGATAGTTTATGTGCTTGTATACTTACAACAAATTAGTTGTAGGCTTGTGTAGTTTTGTATTTTTATTGAAACTGATTATACTTTTAACACAGGCTCGTATAATTACTGTTCATTTGAAACACATTTGTTATCCTTTTGTTAATGCTTGATCTGTTGACTATCATAGCTGAGAGATTATGTAACATAATGGTAGTCCAGCTATTATAGCTATTTGGTCATCCTTTATACACAAGGAATCAGAGTTTGTCATACAAATTAAACCAAAGAAATGCTAAAGAAAGGAATTATTATAATGTCTCTCAGTAAGGTTTCTAATCTTTCTCATTGAGTTCAAAGTAAAACTGTGTGGTTGGGAGACTAAGGATCCTAGTTAACTAGAGGCTATATTCAAATCACTGTTTACATATTCAGTGACTCATTTTGCCTTGAATATGGACCTAGTTGGCCTATTCTGAATTATTTATTAATTAAGGACACGTTACATAAAAAATGTACTGTCTTGAGTTTGCAACATTTTATTTTGTTAAAACTAGTGAGGTAAATCATGATACAGTAGTAAGTTGTACAAATTGGCCTAGTCTGGACTTCTAAATGTCCAAATTTTTGATTCGACAGCAAAATCGTGAATATGTACAAAGCTCTGCGAATATGAAATAATATCTGCTCACACATTATATATTACACTATCAAGGTATTTATTAGTTTAAGTTCTCCAATTACATTATTTAACTCATCACATCTCATAATTTACCTCATTTTAAACACTTTTCCTTTGGCACATTTGGGGGAAATGCCTATTTCATCCTTACATCACAAAAAGCGCTGACAATCAAGAATGTTTTTGTTTAATTTTCATTATTTAGCTCATTTTGAACACTTCTTTCCTCTGGCACTTTTGGTAGTAGGCCTAACGCCTAACAATCAGCCTTCAAATTGCTAAGTTATAAACTAACCTGATCGCTCAAAATAACCTCAATTAAAAATGATCTCAATTAAAAATAACCTCAATTAAAAAAATGCCAACCTAAGCCTTGGTTGGTTAGAGTAACTTAACCTTAGAGTAGTATGACCTAAGTACTCAATATAGCCTTAATTATAAAATTAAGAGAAACAAAAATTCTAAGCAGGTCCAATGCTAGGTTAGGTGTGAAGGTGTTCCCCTCCAAGAGTGTCAAAGGAAAAATAAGTGTTCAGACTAGGCAAAATAATGAGAAGTATAGATTTGTTTTCTAAATTTGTTTGGAGGCCCTAAAATAAACCAATGTCCAGTAAAAATTTGTACTTCTGTAGAAGTTTAATAGCCAACCAAGAAATAACAAGTTGTTTCCAAACATGTTTTGGATGCTCACTTGCATAGTATTATTTGTCATAACTTGGTTACAATTGCAAAATTTTGGCACACCTCCAAAACTCTTTCGTATACGATAATTTGAAAGTCTACCACATAAATCTGGATGAGGGATAGTCTACTGTAAATAGTATTTCTTCAAGGAATTTCAATGCCAGATAGTATATTCTGATTGATTTGTATTATTTAGTCCAAAGAACTTCTGCTGTGGGTGTTGCACTTCACTACGCTGCTCATCGAACACTCTTTCTCACGTCACCTGTACAATTCCGTGGAACATCTGCTGACATTGCTGAGTTCCTGCGACCTCAATGTCGTTCTCGGAGTTCTCAATCTGCTTTACATGTTCTCCAAGAGGAGCAACTTCATAACCCGAATAAACCCTGAGATGCGCATAGCTTTACTGAAATGTCTCACCTATCTTGCAGAGGTAACAAACCTAGATGTAGTTGATACAATTGTTACAGTTCTCTATACCTCTGATTGGACTTTGGGGGGTTTTAATAACCCTTAAATTAAACAAAAACTATCTACTGTGTTGGTAGTTGACTCTTGAATAGTGCTAATTATGTGGTTGAGGTAATTCCATAGAATTAGAAGAGGAAATCAAACATTGTAACATTAATACATCACTATTTTTTTGTTATTTAGTACAGCCCAAGTTGATTATTTTAAGTACATTCATGTAACTCGAGTCTTAGGCCGTTGACATTGATAGGACAGCCCCTTTGCTGGCATAGAGCACATTCTTTACATGCCATTGTACTGTTCTTAAAATAAGTTTGATCTGTGATGTTTGGGTTAATTTATTCTTCCCTTGCTTAGTCTTTCATATTGAGTTTTAGGTTCTCTTGCAGCTCCCCAATTTTTTGCTTATGATTTACTTTAAAAAACGTACTTTCCCCAGTTGGTATTCACTTTGTAAGCCAAAGTAACCACTTACTGCCAACAGAATGAAAATAATCTTAGCTGTTTTTTTTATAAATTTAAATTACACTAGGTGTTATGCAAATTAATATTGTATTGTGAAGTTGTACACCAGAAAAAAGGGGTTGGGAAACACTGCCCTAACTAATTTACTAATGTAGCCTAACTCTACAAACTGCTGTGTAATTGGTTATTCAGAGTGTTCAGTTATTGAAGGATATCATTAGTCGTTAGTTTTAAAAGCATACCTTGCCTAATAGAGTTGAGTCAAAATTTACTTATTAAGTACATAGAATCAAATATAACATGTTAATGTTGTGGTTTTCAGAGTTGGGGAGGTCGCGAGAATGGCTTTGGACTTGCTGATTGTGTCCGGGAAGATGCACATGTAAGTAGCCTTGTGTTATTTTAAACATTTAATCTATTTTAATATAATATATTGTATGGGTTTCAGATGCCCCCGTAGGTTAGTTTTTGGCTAGTTTTTAGTTATAAATATTGTCTGTATGGTTAGGCAATGTCACAGTATTGTATATTACAACGTCAATAACCTCTATGGTTGGGCAATGTCACAGTACTGTATATTACGACGTCAATCAAATCAAATAAAATCATCCTTTATTCATTATGTACAATATATACATGAATAGTGTCAATTATTAAGAATACCAACATAAAAATAATATAATACATAAAATAACAATAACCTGCATGGTTAGGCAATGTCACAGTACTGTATATTCAAATTCAAATTCAAATTAAAATAATCTTTATTTGTAAGTAGCAAATAACATACATAAATAGTGTCAAAATACAGGTATGAAAAAGTATAACCAAGGGTTTCTTAAAATTATCAATGCATAAACTAACATTATTTCCTACAACTCATCTAAGGAAGCTTTGTTGATACATTCATATTAGTTTATTTATTTAAGAGGGAGGTTTAGAAATTCATCCAGTGAGTAAATTACCTTGTTAATTAAATAAACTTTCAGTTGTCTTTTAAATTTAATTGAATTTTTTTCTTTATTAATATTTTCTGGGATTAATCTTAAAAACTGTTCACCAACATATGTTGGTTTTTTTTCATAGAGCTTCAGTCTGTGCTGATTTTGCCTTATAGAGTTCTTTTTTCTAGTGTTATAATGATGTGTGGGTATGTGAGGGACATCAATAAGAATTTTGTTCTTTGCACACAAAATGACGTCAATATTACGATGTCAATAACCTCTATGGTTGGGCAATGTCACAGTACTGTATATTACGACGTCAATAACCTGTATGGTTAGGCAATGTCACAGTACTGTATATTACAACGTCAATAACCTGTATGGTTAGGCAATATCACAGTACTGTATATTACGACTAGGGATGTGTCGAATCCGGATCTCGAATCCACCGAATCTTAAGAAAAGATCGGGATTCGAGAATATATTTTTTTAGAATAGAATTATGAGGCGTATTACCATACAGGTTATTGACGTCGTAATATACAGTACTGTGACATTGACTAACCATAGAGGTTATTGACGTCGTAATATACAGTACTGTGACATTGCCCAACCATAGAAGTCATTAAAGTCGTAATATACCTACAGTACTGTGACATGGCCCAACCATCGAAGTTATTGACGTCGCAATATACAGTACTGTGACATTGCCCAACCATAGAGGTGGATTCGAGATCCGGATTCGTCACATCCCTAGTCGTAATACACAGTACTGTGACATTGCCCAACTATACAGGTTATTGACGTCTTAATATACAGTACTGTGACATTGCCTAACCATAGAGGTTATTGACGTCGTAATATACAGTACTGTGACATTGCCTAACCATATAGGTTATTGACGTTGTAATATACAGTACTGTGACATTTCCCAACTAATATCATCAACTAATAGTTTCATTTTAAGATTTGGATAAGTTTTAGTGTCCCCAAAAAATGAGGGATTATGGGCTCAACTGGAGATTACTCTATATTAACCTTTAAACATTACCAATTTAATTTTAAACTGTATGATTTAAATTGGCATTCTGTTAATTACATTTTTTTTAACAAGCCCTTACGACAGTGTGTATCTGGATCCGGATCCGAATTTTTCAAGATCCGGATCCGGTACCGACATTTTCTTGGATCCGCCCATCACTAATATGTATAGCAAATATTTAACTAAAAAGCATGATGTTGTCTAGTAAATTTTAAGCTGTTAAGTTAATTTAAATTGCAAATGGAGATTAAGATTATTAGGTTTTATAGATAACCGTTCTGCTAGCCAACTACAGCACATTCTCGACAAATATTTCCTGAACATTTGCTTCTTTCATAATTTGGTGGCAGGACAGGATAAAGGACTAATTTAATTTGATCATTTGAATCTTCTTAACTTATTAAAAGTGAGAATGTCCTACTTGCGTGAATGAAGTTAATCTAATTTATAATAACCACAATGCTGAAGAATGAGGCATCCTGTACATTTGTGTTGGTCTTGGTGAAAAATGTCTAGCTGAAAGACAGCTGTTAAACAAAACCCATCCAACAGTTTAGAACAGTTATCATGATAATGTGTCCTCAAGGTTAGCAACAGTCTATTTCTGATGAATTGTTTACAAACAATAAGCCTTATCTGAAACTGTTTGTTTGTAAATATTTCTTTATCTACTAAACAAATAATTTGACAAATGGTATTCATCTCTGTCATTCTTAAGTAACTTTATTAGTTCAAACTGGTGCCTATTTGTAGTTGAATACTGTTTCAAACATAAACTATGTGTATTATTTGTGTAAAGACATTTTGTTTTTACTCTTTTCAAATTTAGACTTGGCGTATTATTTGTGAAAAAGAAATTTTTTGCACTGATGAGCTTATAAATTGACTTCAAGGAGGGGAAACTTTTGTTTGGTTGGATCGGTTATTGACAGCTAAAATACTGTGATTCATTAACATTTATTATTACGTTATTATAATTTGTACGTGTCTTTTAAAATTGATTTTGGTTATCTCCTCCAGTTGTAGCAACACTCGTGATTATATTTTGCGGTCTCGGGAACTTTGTTGATCGTCTCTCGCTATTGCGGTAACACCCCGAGAGCACATCTTGTGGGTTGCCTTTCGGTTAACTGACAGTTTGGATAACCAGTCTACAGATAATCGATGATCTACAGTATTTCAATGAATAGGCTAAGATTTGGTTTACTTTTCCATAGGGATGGACGGGATTGAATTTTTAGTTCGGGACGGGACGGGACGGGATTTTTATTTCCTTCCCGATTTTCGGGACGGGACGGGACGGGATTTTTTTCTGTGCATAAAAAGAAAGTACTGTATTGCAGTTACCAAAAGAGACATACAAAATCAATTTTTACCATTTGTGGCACTGATCTATAAAAACCAAAAAATGGGTAACCTATAGAAACTTGTGACTCGCGGGTCACAGGGTGATCGTCTGTATGACTCACGGTCACGGCGCGATCGTCGTCATGACTTGCGGTCACGGCGCGATTGTCGGTATGACTTCGAGGTCACTGGGTTATCGTCGGTATGACTCCACGGTCACGGCGCGATCGTCGGTATGACTCGCGGTCACGGCGCGATCGTCAGCATGACTCGCGGTCAGGGCGCGATCGTCGTCATGACTCGCGGTCACGGCGCGATCATCGTCATGACTCGCGGTCACGGCGCGATCGTCGTCATGACTCGCGGTCACGGCGCGATCGTCGTCATGACTCGCGGTCACGGCGCGATCGTCAGTATGACTCCGCGGTCACGGCGCGATCGTCGGTAGGACTCCGCGGTCACGGTGCGATCTTCGGTAGGACTCCGCGGTCACGGCGTGATCGTCGGTATAACTCGCGGTCACGGCGCGATCGTCGGTAGGACTCCGCGGTCACGGCGCGATCGTCGGTAGGACTCCGCGGTCACGGCGCGATCGTCGGTATGACTCGCGGTCACGGCGCGGACGTCGGTAGGACTCCGCGGTCACGGCATAATCGTCGAAATGACTTCGTCTCCTGCGTTCGCGGACCTGTCGCTCGCAATAACGGCGTTATCGGCACTCGCGAAGCGGAAAAATCGCCGACGATCGGACCAAATCCCGTCCCGAAAAATTCCCGAGTCAAATGTAATCCCGTCCCGATAATCGGGAATATTTTTTTCCCGAAAAATTCCCGAAATTTCGGGACCCGTCCATCCCTACTTTTCCATTTAGAGAACAATTTATTGATAGTTTTATGTGTTTTGGATTTCTAATAGCCTAAATTGTTCCTATTTTTTATGAGCTTCTTTGAAAATTGAAAAAAAAGAAAAATTACCCTAGTTTTAGTAGGTTTACAAGCTTCTTCTTTAGAAAATTGAAATAAAAGAAAATTGTTCTTAAATCCTCATCCATACTTGGCGATTTGTCTCTGGAAAAATTGTCGGTCGACTGTATCCTTAGTGTTGCCTTTTGTTTCTGATGATATCTCCAGATAATCAGCTTACTACCAGCAGACAAGTATCTGTTTCTGGAGACAAGGAACAACAGTGATTTTTATTGCCCAAACAAATGGGAAACAAGGAGACAAGATACAACTCTTTTTGTCTCCTGCATGTGTGGATGTGTCTGGATATAGAAGACCAGATACAACCCAAAACCGCAGGTGTTCACCGTGGTTTTCAGGGCTAAAATTGTAGCCCTATAACGCGTACATGTTTTGTTATCTTTAGCCCAAAGAAAGATAACAGAACCTCAAAATCTGTAGGAGTCATTCTTGTTAAGTTTGAATCCTACTATCCTGCTATCTTCTAATTGAAAGTCTGATCAAAATCTTTGACCATAATAAGAACCTAGCTCAAGAATCTTGTGGGCTCACCATCGTCTCTTTCTTACATCGTTCATGTTTAAGAAGTTAAAGCACGCATAAGATAAAATCATGTCCTCTCTGGTCGCAATACCAACAAACAATGGCTGGCTAGTGTGGTCGCAAAAAAAAAAAAAAATTGGAAACTAGTACCTATCCGAAACTGTGTTGATTGGCTAGGTTGGTAGACGATTGTCCAACTTTCTGCCGACTCAGTCTCCGAATGTGGACTAGGTTTTAGTAAACCTTAGTAAAGTCTATACCAACAAACATTATTGACAATGTAAGTTATTAGCCTATTCAAAATTAAATCTAATTTTTTAACATGTTAAAATTGTGGATTTAACTACGGTGTTTGATTCTCAAATTCTAGAAGTTCTGAGGAGCTATTTGATTCTCAAATACTAGAAATGCTGAGAAACTATTTGATTCTCAATTGCTATTAAGTTCTGAGATGTCACCTATATCTCCTTTTGACGTTTCATATGACTACTAGTTCCTTGATTTAAATATAATTTTAATCTCTTTATATACAAGCTATGTACGTTTGTTTATGAAACATATTATTCAGTGATGAAATTGCCTTAGGTACCGCTCACGGCAACTACCCTGCATTACGAGTTTTACACTGAGGATCAAGGAGCAATGAGCCAGGCATCCTGTATCCATTTAGACAACGTTGACCAAATAAACAAGTTGCCTTCGGAGATCATGGACGGACTCATAGAAACATTTAATGTTCCAAAAGATGGACACGTAAGTATAATCCCGTTTCTCTAACATGCTAGGTAATTTTTTATATCCATTTCATTTTTTTAATGCATTTAATTTTAATACCAGGAGGTAATAAAATGGGAATTCCAATTATGTTTGAAAACTGTATTTTAGACTATCTACATAACAATATTTTCACGATTAAAAAAACCCCCTTACAACCAGTGGCGTAGCTGTAAAATGTCCAGTGTGGGAACACTCCCCATCGTCCAAGAACTGGCTAGCATATTTAATACATAAGACTATTGGAAAAAGCAGAGTGAGACACCGTTCCCAGCCCTCTTACAGTGCTTACAACCTGACAAAATACAATTACAAACTTATGATACATTATTCTGTAATCTGTAGCACCTGGAACAACAAAGTGATAAAATACTGATGGCTTGTGCAGTTAAACATTATTGGCAATAATAACAATAATAATAATAAACCTAAATGAATTTGATGACTGTCGAAACATTTTGTAATGACAACTACGTTATTTTATTCATAACACAGTTTTGAAAAAAAATCCCTCATAAAACATTTTCAATTTTTAAATGTTTCATCCAAAAGAAGGGTTCCAAGTTAAAATTGATCCCAACAGTAATGTTCAGTCTGTTGAAATCCTTTGTAAGCTATAAAATTAAAAAAGTTTCTATTTATTTTCTTTGTTATTAGTAGATTGAAATTCCTTTGTAAATCCAGTATTTCTCAGTACATGACTGCTGTGCATAACAACGTGCATAAAAAACTATTGGATGGGTCGATTGTCGATTCCATCAATTCTCAGTTTTGGAATCGCAATTGAGAATTGACCGCTCAAATTCGATTCTAATACCAATACCCGACTCGTCTTCGCACGTTCTGAATACTACTATTAGTGTCACAATAGCGCAAGGTGACCATGATGTGACCATGACGATGTCTACGTGATCGCAGTAAATTGACAAAATGTAGCCGCAATTGTGAGGGACTATATTGTTTCCGTTACTGCAGTGGTAGTCAGGGTTTTGTCGTGGTGCGGGAGACAATGACGATGTCTACACGACCTTCCAAAATGTTTTTAACATAATGGAATCGGGAATCAATTTCAAAGAATCAAAAATCAGAATAAAAAATTTGTGGAATTGACTAATCACTATAACAAACAACATTAAATAACAAATAAAATGAGAAAAATCAAACAACCAGCTGCAGTAACAACAACTCAATACCAATAACACGAAACTCTAAATAATCTAATAACAACCGTAGTACTGTAGTTGACTAATTCTCTCTCTCGTTTTAACTAAATTGAACAAAGGAATTAAGAGGTTGTACACTTTGGCCGAATTACGAGAAACTCCTCCCAAACTTTCCCCACTGTGAACTTTGCTTCATTTTCCCCCTTTAGGAAAGTGAAGCAGGACTCTTACATGGCAGAGTTTGCATTGAGATACCTTCTTCCGAAAGGAGAGCCTCTCAACAAGGTTTTTGTGACTCCTTTAAAACAAAAGCTTAGTGCACCATGCTCTTAGGAAGGGTACCTATAAAGATTCTTGCTCTTTTTAAACATTGTTTACATCAAATAAAATCAAATCATAATGTCATCATCAAATTCATACTATTCCACAAGTGTTCCACTCTTGCTAAAGTAATAGTAAAGATATAATAAACTAGACGTGTGCGGATATCTGAAAAATTTGATCGGATTCAGTCGGGTTTGGATGTTTGTATCCGAATAGGTTTGTCCATGATGTGGTAACCATGACAACTTAAGCCTGTGATTGGCCGATAAGTAAACATGGTCACTTGTTGAATGTGTGGTAGAAATTCAAGAAAGAATAAAAGAACAATGTGTAAGAATAACAACCTTTCTATATTGTTGTTATCTTTATCTTAGTTTTTCAAGTGTTGTTATCATCTTTAAGTTAATACTTTTTAGGGGTGTGCGATGCATCGAAAATGCATCGAAATTTCGATTCGATTCGATTCGATGCATCGAATCGCGATTCGATTCAGTGGTGGTCAAAAAACGATTCGATTCACGAGGGAGTCAGTATCCATATACGAAAAACGCCTGCAGAAAGTCAATGCAATACCCGCAATACAGGAGCGCGTTGCTGTTGCGTTTCCTTTACGAAGGCGTTCTTATTTAATACATTCTTTGCATTAAATATAGCTTTAATTGTTTTATATTTTTTTTCTTTTGACATTGCAAATGATTAGAGGTTTGTTTTTTGTCTTGATGTAAGCAGTGTGTGAAATATTTTACTACTGTGAACCTAGCCAAAACAAGGTAGGTTACTCCAAAATCATTTTAAAAATAAGTCTGAAAAATTGTTACTTAATACTTAACTAGTAAGATTAATGTTATAGACTGATTCATTTGGTATTTTTGTTAGGTGTCTGCCGGTCCCCGTCCCCGAATTTTTGTTGGGGCAAAAAAAAAAAAAGAATAATTTATTTCCAAAGAAACACTCTTATATTATTATATCTATTATTACAGAGGAATTAAAATGTTCAAATGAGAATTAAAAATTAAGTTGGCTCACGACCTTTAAGAATAAAGACACAACAGAGCAATTGCCGCACTGCCACTAGCCAGAGCCAGGTCTAGTCGTCTACTGATAAGAGTAACAAGACAAAAGCCGTGACGCAACACTAACAGTGCAAAGAAAACAAAGTCAAAAGAATAGAAAGACTATTTATCCAGACATACTAGTATAATCATTTATTGTTTATTCAATACCTAATTAAAAATATATTTTATTATTTTACATAATAAATTATAAACAAAAGAAATATCTGATATAGTGAACAGATCTGTATCTTGGTTAGATGGGGTTAAAAAAATATATTTCTAAGATCCAATACAATATTTACAACTCACAAATTACATTGAATTAATTTCTTTGAAAATAATCTCTAACAGTTTTGTGTTTTTGAATAAAGAAATATATTTCTTTGTCTCTACTTCCTTGTTTCATCACTTGCATTTTGTCAGCAATTGAAGCAACTGGGTAGCAACCGGGTGGTGTAAGAGGGGAGGGGGAGGGTCTATGACCTTGAATTCACACATCGTTGCCCGGGCCTGGCTGGTGAGACTGATTCATTGTTTTTGTTGACATACTACTACCCTTCCTTAAGAGAAAAAGGCCCTGCTGTTCCAAAAACATTGAGGGTAGTTTAAAAACATTGACCTGTGTTGCCAAGGGCACTAGGCTAGAAGATAGCATTTAACTTTCTTGTCTCTTGATTTAATATTATTTTAATCTTCTATATATTATTTAAGAGTTACTTTTCGGGTACCTAATTAGTTGTGATATTGTTTGGCTTTATTTTATGGATTTTTAATTCTTTTCATTCATTAGCTATTCAAATCAGTTGCTTTAGGATTTTAATCTCTTGCAGTAGGTCTATACTACTGTATGACATGATATGCATTTTTTAGTCCTTATTAATTATACCACAAACAATGTTTGTATGTTATTTACTGTTTTTGAGTTTTATAGGAAATTAGTTTACACAATATATTTTCTTCAATGAGTTCTCCACTTGACATGTTGCTTCTAGCCTATTACTATTTTAGGCCCTATAAAAATAATGCCTAGGTAAAGCTGTAGGCCTACTGATGCCAATAATAATTCTTTATTTATGATGATGTAACAAATAATGTAAGTGTGAGGTTATTATACTAAGGAGGTTAGGAGGCAGGGAATGAATGATCCATATTGCATGGTGGAAACATATTATTTTTATTTTCTTCTTGCTTGCAGTCCTGAAGCTGGTCCACAGGCCCTAAACTTGTGATATGTAAATTTATTTCTTAATGGTCTTTTTATATTAAGTTCCTTTCAAATTTGTTGTAATTTAGCTACCGGCACCTTTTTAGTTATTTAAACAGTTATTAAAATGAGAATGAATGTCTTGATAAAAAAAATATTTTCTTCTTTCTTGCAGTTGAGCCAATTCAAGTAAAAATTATGAAATAGGCAAGTAAAGCAGCTCACTGGTATTTCCAGCAGTTATTCTAATACATATGATTGAAAATAAATATTTTTTCACCTAAAATTCATATGTTAAGTATGAAATAGGCCTAATACCACATCAACAAAAATTTGTATTACACAAATGTGATACATTTTAATTATTGTTAATCCACTCAATTGACAATTATGAATAGAAAAATACCGTATTGCTTCGAATCGAGTTGCATCGAATCGAATCGAAAATCTTTTGAATCGAATCGTTGCTTCGAATCGAAAATTTTTTGCTGCTTCGCACACCCCTAATACTTTTAATTTAAATTTTTTTTAATGAGTTATGTAATGATTTTAGGGGTGTGCAATGCATCAGAAATTAATAGGAATTCTGATTTGATTAGATGCATCGAATCACGATTCGATTCTATGGCAATCAAAATAACTTGATAAAAAGAAAATCTTGTCGATTTTGTAAGAAATGCCTATGCTAATTGTTTAATTCCAACTTGCAGATGCTGCTGTTCACCCACCTACGCCTCGCCCACAGCTTCTCTGACCACGGGCTGAGACTGAAGTGTGTGCAGGCACGACTGCAAGCGTTGTCTGTTCTCCTATACTCCAACTCAGACGCACATGGTTTGCTCTACCCGGGCCTACTCGACGAACTGGTCCAACTTCTTGAACTGGACAACCCAGGACTTGTGGAGATTCGATCTGCTGCCCTCAGGACTCTGACCTCCATCATCCATCTGGACCGCAGTCCACATCTACCCAAGTAAGTAGGCCTAAGATGTAATCTATTATAAATTGGAGTCCCATACACTGCCATGTTTTCAGTTATAGCAGATTTGGCACACGATCCAGCTTTAAAGTTGATTACTATTTGTTTATTTACATCTTGGTATGCCCTACATGCAAAAGTTGGTTTTCCTGAAGAATGATCTTAACCTCTTAAAGGTACTTGTGGTTAAAACTAATGAAGATTTCACATCCGTTTCAGTTACTCTGTGGTAACTTAGATTCGGTAAAATGAGAGACTGCAAAGATGATTTATAAGAAAATCTGTTACAAAGTTTGTTAGGGGGTATAATTTGTGAAACAGTAAAGAGCCTCTATTCTATCATAAGATATGGCAAAAATTTCGGTTCGGGAGACAAAATTAGATTTTAATATCGGGGTTTAGTGGAGTCCTGCGTAATAGTCGTCTCACCTGAAATTAGTCACACCATACAATTTGTCCAGATAGCCTAGCCTACAATGAGATAGTCCAGGATACTAACGTGTTCCTTAATTAATTGTTGTTTGGAGTTTATTGGCTCATATTATAACAACAATGCTAGTAACTATATTAGCTTACCTTCAACAAGTGATGATCGCAGTCACTCGAAATATGCGTTGAGATCGAATTTAGTGTATTTAATACCGAGCAAATAAAACTATAACTGACAAGCTGAAAAACAACATGAATCGAACGTTACGTACTTGGTTAACACCAAAGTACTGTGTGTCCTAATAATACCCGGTCAATTGCCAGAGTCGTTTGTAACTAATTTTAATCGGTCATTATAATGTGGTGTTTGTAACACAAATTGAAATAATAAAACGTTTATAATGCTTGGTTATCACCAAAGCGTAGTTTAAGACAGAATCTACACTTACCCGTGTGCGCAGAATCCTGCCTGGAACATCGGTCATGCGTGATCGGCTAAACTTAAAATATAACTTCAAATAACTATATTAAGCGTGACTGGTAATTAAATAGAGCGTTATCATCATGGCTCTACACTTACCAGTGTTCGTATCGTCTCGGGATTCCTAGTATCGGCTTTTGTCAGATATTGTTCGTGAAGAATCATGTACTTAACGGTTCGTGACAACTCCCAGTTATTGATCCGTGAGAATTGGTTGACTCTCGACGGCTGAAGAACGACTGCCTAGTCTGGGCGCTTCTCGAGCGGTTCTCTCCTACCACCCCTGGTGTCGGGGTTGAGAACCACGGTCATCCCCTCCATATGATGTCACTATGTCCAGCGTTTCGTGGCGGCCTTTTCGTGAAACAAATCAACGTATTTGGGATGACTATGAAATATTACCCCACGTCAGAATTTGACCCGTTACAAAGGCCTTTGATAATGGGATCTTCCAGTAATCCGCCTTGATTCTTGTTGCTTCTTAACCCTTCATAGGTGTTACAACGGAGTTTTTTTTCGGGCGCATTTGTTTTTAATGAAATATGTACTTTGCTGATCAGCAGTTTAAAGGATAACCCACATAAAGGATGATTAATTAAATAGTTAGGGATAATTTACATGCCTCTTTCTAGGAACTGATTAATTATTATTACCCTCCTTCCTCCCCATACTACCCTTATCAAAGAGTTTGCTTTTGCATGTCCCGCTCGCGCTACATGCCCGCTACTTGGTTCCCGGTCACCTCTGGCATTGTTCTTTTGTTTGCTTTATACTTTTATAAATATGTCAAGTAAGGTTTTTATTAATTTAATGTAGGCCTACACATTGATTAATTATACATGGGTTTCATACCTTTTTGTATTAATGTATGAATAAAAATTCATTGTCTGTTTAGTGTTTCAATACTCGGAAAAATTGTCTTGTGTCACCGATTGTGTTTTGAAATCAAGGACACTCATGAAAAGTTAAATAAACATGTTGGGTTCCTAAAAATTCTTAACCTAGTTCTAAACTCGCTTTATAAAGGCTACGACTTATCTTAGTAATAAAACAGGCAAAGCCTTTAACTTAACTCTTTTTCTTCTTGACACAATCCTAAAGGTTTTATAATGTGTGGTAATTGATGTTGATAGAAATCCATGCATGTTGGATACTTCATTCATCCATTTGATAGTATGTTGATGTATCAAAATTAAAATTATAAATAATGGTTTAAATACAAAACTGAAAAATAACTGCTAAAATACTGGTAACCAAGTACCGGTAATTTACTGTCCTGAAGTTTTCTGTATTGCAAACCATTAAGGCCTAGTACACACACACACATATATATAACTTAAATATTTAAACTCCTTATATCCAAAATACTCAGTTATTGAAATGACTTATTCACAATGATCTTTTGTAGTAAGTAAATTTTCTTCGATTATTAAAGTAAGAAATTTATAACTGTGATCGTAATAGTCAAATCCAAGATAACAGTATTGGCAAGTAGTAAAAATTGAGAAATGCTAAGATTGTGTTTAGACCATGTGTTAGATGTTTAGTTTAAAATGAGTTTATTTAGTTAACTTTTTTCCCCATAGCTAATTACATGACATATTTGCAATAGTTAGTCTATAAATTTGGGGTTTATAAGATATCAAATTTTTTTTACAATAAGGGAGACAAAGGATAGGATAAGCAGGATTACCTCAAGAAATGAAGGCATCCCACTTCACATAACAACACAAGATAAGATAAATTGGTCTTGTGTTTTCTTATGTGTTACTGTAGTGAAGTGGGATGCCTTCATTTCTTAAGGTAAGCCTGCTTATCCTATCCTTTGTCTCCCTTATTCTCAGGCAATAAGCCCTTTCTATTCAAATTGTTGTTAAAATTTACATTACATTTTCATTGGCTTATGTTTGCCTCAATTTTATTAAGTAATTTTAAATTCCTACATTCATACATTTCAATGTTAAGGAAAAATTCTTAGTTAAAGCATGTGATCATAAATACCTGTAGTTGAAATGCCTGCGTATTTTACATTACTATTTATGAGTATAATTTAGAAATGTGCGAGTACTCAGAATTTTGGATTGAGGCGAGTTTGAAAATAAAACTCAAGGTTTTCCTCAAACTCAACAATTTTGAGCGAGTTTGGCGACAAGGTATCTAAACTAAAAATTACCTTAAGTTTGTTAAACTGTTGTTTCTATATTAGTGAAGTAAATAAGTAAATTTAAGTAGTTTGCTAATACGAAGAAGACAGCTCCACAGCAAGGCCTAACACTGCCTGCTCTTCCTTGTGATCGTGATTGTGATCGCCAATGGCGTCAACCACCATTCAACGAATCCAAAGAAGAAATCAGCTTGCCAAAGAGTAAAATGTTTGAAAACAAATTAATAGAGTTTTATTTTAATCCCTTCCCAACATTATAATATGTTCACTATCAACCACCCAAGTAGGCCTAATTGATAATGTACCAAATACTTTAAAATGCCGGTGTACATCTTGTTCAACTTACAAATACAATTATTTGTTTGTAGACAAATACCGGACTTCATATGTCCGGCATTAAATTTGCGGTTTCAACGTTTGCCATCCATGTAAGTATTGAACTGATATTGAGATATTTCTCACAGTTATTTATAAATGGTGAACTGTGTCGGGCAAATGCCCAGTGGGCTGGACATTTATAAATGGGCATTTACCCAGGCATTGATGCAAGAGCCCAAAAACCAAGCATGTATGAAAAGATTATATTTTTATTTAAGTTTCCGTTACCCCTGAACAATATCAGGATTTTGTCACAACCACGGAATACAGTAGTGATGTTTCCATTACTGAGGGAGATATTCAGGATTTTACAGTTATCGCGAAAAACTATGATGGTGTCTCTACAATTGTGGTAGATGATCACGATATAACCTAAAATGGCACACTTCTAGAAAGTTTTATTTTTATATTTATTGTAATATCTTTATTTCCCTTTAATGTGGTATTTATTTAAGGGTTTAAAATTTAAATTGGCCTAGTGAAATCTTTATAATTTCTGCATTAATTATTTATGTAGGCCACTTGAAAAACAACCCATAACTCCAAAATTACATACTATACTGTTTAACTGTTGTACATAAAGCCAGGGGTTGGTGTAGTAATCCTTACAGAAAATTTTGAAAAATTAAAATGATTAGTATTAAGAATCTATTTTTCAGTTGTCGGTACCGGTACGGAGATGTTGGTATTGAAAAATCCCTATTTTTAAGAATTTATTGATAAATTGCAATTTTACAGATTAGTTTTTAATTATCTTATTATTTAATCAATAATATATAAAAATTACATACTAGTGTCAGGCAATATTACAGTAATCATAAATTTTGTTTCTGTAACTGAGAATGCTTTCCCGATTTTTAAAACTAAAATAGCAAACTGTGTTAGCGCTAAAACAGCATTACGGGAGTTGGCACAAAAACACGTTGGAAAGTTTAGTATGAAAAGTACGACCTGAACTACCTGGAATTACTCATGAATTTTTTCTGGTTGGCCTGGTGGACACCCTAGATGAGGCATATTTTTTATTTCTCACTTTATGATGTTTGCTGTGCAACTTCTTTTCATTTGCATTTAAGAGTTTCCCATGTAGAAATGCTCTTGAAAGAGATGAACTATAAATTAGCTCAATTCTTTGAATATGTGTATTGAATATATACATGACAAACCTTTTTGGGCGTTACATTGTAGATTATTTACTTAAACTTACAAATAATTTGAAAATGAAATTATCAAATCTGCAAGGAACAAACTTATAAAGTCTTGTATAAATAATGTGATAAAATCTAAGTTTTTTGGTTGAACTGTCTTTTTAATCAATAAGTGAGCATACCTGGCTACTTGGAGTAAAGGGGAGGAAAAATAAAACAATGTAATAAAGGTATACTCTATGAACTGTTGCACCATCTATGGTATAGCTAAATTGTTGTTTAACACTGTGTTGTCCATGTTCGTCTTCTGTAGATGTAAACTACCATCATAGTTGTATCCAACTTTTTTGTTGCCAATTTAATTAATGACAAAGTGTTCTTTAAGTTTTTAAGTCTTGAGAAAAAAGAAATTAGCGTATTTTGGATTAATTTTCCCAATTTTCAAAATAAAAATTTGTGTTAATAATATGTGTTTAACTTGCAGACTATGAAATTAATCCAATCTATCTTTATACAAAATTAAGAGGTTAAGGACTGTTGTTTTTAATGTTTTATCGTATGTTATTAATATTAATCAGGTTTTTAACTAATAAATGTATTTTTAATAAGCATTAGGCCAATTAATAACTTTAAAATTAGTTTTATGCTCCCTACGTTTGTTTTTACTATTCATCAATTGGTAATATTGTAAATTGCATACTGTTTCAAGAATTGCACCAAGTATACTATCCACACATTATGTATGTAACAAAAAATACTCAGAGAAAGGAATAAAGGAAATAAAACAAAGACTCAGATAGTTTTCAAAGTTGTTGATTGGTACTATTAAATAACATTATTAAATATTAAGATAAATATAATAAATATTTCATCAACTTATACAGTGAAATATTATGCAATACAGGTACTTTTTTATGAACAATCATTGGATGTAACTAAAACATTGTGATATAAATGTACTTACCTTTTTTTGACTGTAACATGAATGTGTTTATTTTTCTTGCTCTTTTTCTTTGTATAATCTTTTTGTGTAAAATATACAAGGGAAGCATACTTTAATAACACAATCGATCATTGGAACATTATGCAATGCTTTTACACATTTTAACTATTTGTTGTTTTTAAGTTTAACTCATCTCGAACATAAGATCAAGTATTTGGCGGAACTTAAACTCGACTCTGCTCAAAAATCTTGTGCTCGCACATTTCTGGTATAATTATAAATTATGTGTTACATTGCCACACGTTTTATGCTCTAAGATTATAACTGATCCTTACTTGTTTATTTACTAATGTAGAAAGCCGGGGTCTCGACTGAACATGATCATCGACGTGACAGGAGCTGGGCTCTACCACGGGTTTTTGCCGCAGCTGGTTCGTAGCTGTATCACTTCACTGACCAGTGAGAACAAGGAAGGAGAGGAGGACCAGTTCCCGCTACCCTTGGCCACTGCACTGTTCAGCTTCTTATACCATCTGGCCAGCTACGAGGCTGGTGGAGAAGCCCTTGTCAGCTGTGGTATGATGGAGAGTTTGTTGCGAGTTATCAACTGGCCTGGAGTTGAGTTAGAACACATTACAGTAAGTTTCAAACATTTCACAATTTTTTTCATAAACTTGGAGCTTTTGCTCATGATCTCCTTTTTAATTGTGTATTTATGCTACATTCTCATGTTTGTTTTAGTAAGATATTGCAGACATTGGTTATAATCCAACACTTTTGATATTTGGGTGATTCTGGAATACTGACAATGCTCATATAGACCTACTGAGCTTATGCTATTTCAAAATAGTATTGCAAACATTTTCTTTCTCGATTGTTAAATAAGAACATTGTTTTACAATCTAGAATTTAATCCCACACGCAGATTTAAAATTATAATATAAAAGCAATAGTATAAAATCCGGCTTAAGTTGGTAAATAATTCACGAAAGAAAATCACAATTACTGTTTATTTGAACTCCTCATATCCGATCTTGATAAAACCTGCTCCTCAGGATAACCGACCTACAGGGTGGCCACAGATTAGACATTCAGGGAAAATCAGGAGTTGCGCATGAATTTTGAAAACTTGATTTTAGTCTGCAGTCATGGGATAAAATCAACAAAATATTCCGCGGTTACGGCAAAATCGTGAATATTTTCCACGGGCATGGGAAAACGTGAAAGTTCTTGCGGTCATGGTTAAATCGTTAACATTTTCAGAAGTCACGGTAAAATCGAGAACATCTTCCACGGTCACGGCAAAATCGTGAATTTCTCACTTAGGTTACGGCAATTCACTTAGATGTTACATCAATGCCATCATAGCAACATATTATCTTCCCCAATTGTGGCTAAAATCGTCTGTTTTCAATTGCGCATCTTTGCAAATGCTTTCTGCCGTCGTGGAAATATGTGTTCGGCTTGACTCGACTTGACCCGAGCTTGGTCCGATAGTATCCATATTGTTTTTTTTGTGAAATAAATACATTTTCTTGTAATATTTTGGAGTTTTTTTGCTCTTCCTGATATCCCAACTCTTGGCTGTTCCAACCATGGCCTGGTCCCGTTATGGTCGTATAGGAGGGGTTCTATTGTATAGTAGTAAAAAAAGAAATGTAAAATGCTGAAAGAAAACACTAGTTTACATGGGGTATCTCACTTGAATTTCCATCTTGTGCAGACAAAGTAAATTTTGTGCTTCTACTTTCCATTTATACTAATTATTGGTTTCTTTCAGCTTTTTACTACTATACACTCCTTTTTCTCGTTATTCTTTTCCGACTTCCTACCTTCGTTCTGTTAGGTACTTACCTAAGAATGGGATCACATTTTAAATCTTAGAACGTTTTGGAAACTTAGATTTTACTGATTGTACTGTGGTGGAGAATATCTACAATAATAATTCCTTGAATAACATACAACCGATCTCATTAACCCACTTACTCTCCCAAACTACTGATTACTCTCAAAAACCTTATTTGTTGTAAACAAACCCTTGACTAGATAATTGAATATACACTAGATTATTGGGGCCACATTTCCAGGGTTTTACTGTATAGGGATCTAAAGTTTCCATTTAGGCCAGGAATGGTGATTTATTTGATCCTGTATACTACTCTACAAGTACTGGCATAGATTAAAAGAAGTAGACATACTCCTTTTATCTATGGTACTGGTACATTATTGTTCTAACTGTCAGTTGATGTGTTGCAGTTTGTAACTCGAGCTGTGAGAGTTATTGATCTTATCACAAACATTGATATGCAGTCTTTCCAGAGCCACGGTGGCCTCAACAGTTTCATTAACAGACTCCAGGTATGACTAAACAACCATTATAATTTTAAATAATAAGTTCGTCAAACAATAAATAAAATAATCGTGAATTATTTAAAGATGATGAATGTTCTTGTTTTCAATTAAATTAAGCTGTTGATGCTCGATACATAACATGGCAACAATCGCATACTGTTTATCTAGTGGAATTTTAGAAAATAAGTTTTTTGAAGAAACACAATCTAAATACTTAAGCGGTTTTAACAAGCAAGGAATAAACATGTGTTTTTGGACCAACAACATATATGAAATTCTTTATTATTTTATAGATTACTTTCCCGTAAGCTTAAAAAACAAACCCACTAAAATTTAATTATTTTTATGAGTTGCCTGATACTGTAGAACAGTTCTTCCGGCTACATAATTTTAATAATCATTTTGAGTTAAATGAAACTAATTTTAAAGCTAAAATAGGTGAGCACTTACTTGACAGACCCTTTTACTCAATTGTATATTTTTAATATACCCCTTTTTAGTTTATAATAGTTCTATCATTCAATTTTGTTAATTCACATTTATCTTCTTGATTACTATTTTATTTTTTATATCCTGATAATTTATCTCTGACAATGCACCTATTCTGTATGTACTAACACATGTAAAGAATGTTATTTGCATTATAAAATATGTGTACGTCTTAACAAATACTTTTTAGTCTTCCTTAACAATACTGCCATATTATTATCACACTATCTAACCCTAAAGTGGATATACAGCTTGTGTAGTTAACTTCTAATTGAACGTTACAGATGGAAATTGCCATATGTAGGCAAGAGAAGCCTTTCGAAATACAGGTGCCTTGTCAGCGTCCTAGATCTGACTCTAACGTAGAAGGGGACTCATCGCCTCCCCCCAATACCTCAGATGCGGCCGAGCTGGACGAGGAGATGGTCAGAATAGCCAACTCTGTAGACAGAGTAGCTGTTGATAGTGACTCCTGTTCCTGCTCCAAAGATCAAATGCCTGGTATGTGTCCCATCTGTATGGACTAGCAGTAAAAATTATATTTTCTCTCTTAGTTTTCGGTGCTTTTAATCATTTACGTGACATAAACGATGAAATAGTTAAAGTAGGTTATTCATTAGTTTGCAGAGTTAAAAGCCAACATGCCAGAAATAGTGATTAACAGCACACCGTTGGAGGTTGAATCTAACTTTGTCTATTTTTATTTTAGAACTGGTAACGACTGATTTGGAAATGTGATGTCTTATAATGTTGTTTATTATACAATTGACCCGTATCATTGATAGTGACATAAAATGCATTAAAATCTTAAGTCTTGGTAGTGTGGGTTTTTTGAGGAAAACACTTGCTAGGAATATATCAAAGGAGAAGAAGCGGTTACACAACTAACTCACCTAAGAGTTCCAAGGAGTTGGGATTCTACACATTGTCAACCAGTTATCATAGAACTCTCACATTATCTATCTATTTATCATTCAAAACCATACCAATTTAAATTTTCTTATTAAGACACATAAGACACCAAATTCAGATACAAATTTTAGAAAACCCCATACTTTGCTTACTTTAAATTTAAATAATATATGGATCAACATTCTGGAGTGTATGTGGCACAAGGTTTAAAATATTTTGAAATTACAAAAAAATTCTTTAAGGTTAATGAATCGAGGTGTAACAAGCACATTATTTACAGAAAGGAAGATCCAGACTTGTTAATTACGTAGTTAACAAAGTACGTTTGTATATATGTGTTGGTTATACATATACATACATATGTACAACCTCATGATGTGCAACCTTAGGAACCAAAATTCCACATTTAACAACTACAGTTTCAATTTACAAATAATAATTTAATTGAATAATTGTAATAAGTCATTTAGCGGCTGATAAAACTAAAAAAAAACCTCAAACAGCCATATCATGTTATCCATTCAAGTGTAAAACGTTTTCAAAAGCTGTTTTTTAATAGACCATTAGAGGAATTTTAAAATAGCCTTTACTTGTGGTTATCGGAACATACTTTTTATGGACTGGACGATTTTTGTTATATTTAGATTTTTAGCTATTGTAGTTTGATTTTATGGTTGTATTTTATTCAAACCGACATGTGTTTATTTATTTATTGTATTTTAGATACTTTGTAAACATTTAGAATGACCTAGCATGCGTCTTGGCGTTGTCAATGATATGTCTGTATTCTTACAACAAATAAAGATTTATTACCTGTATTTTGTCGGGGTGCACAACGCATTTAACTATATGTTTCAAAATACTTTACTTGTACCTTCATTTTTTTGCTCAAAATTATAGTGCAAGTGTAATCCGTATAAACCTTTTATAAAATCATAGTTCAAAAAATTTAGTTTCTTAAAATATTAACTGATATTATTTTATTTTCAGAACCAACCCTTGATAAAAGCCAAATACCATATGATATTTACGGAAAATCAAGACATTGTCTTCCTCAGAGAGCAGCCCTACTTAAGTCTATGCTGAATTTCCTCAAGAAAGCTCTTCAGGTAAGCTGTAATTTGTTAGGTAATTTGTTTCCATCTAACTAACAGTGTTTTAACAAAAATCCTTGATACGTTGAGATAAGCATGCAAGCAAAATTATTGGCTTCTTTATCAACCGCAATCTAAATAAGCGTAAATAAATGAAAATAGATTTACCCTTTGAGTGCCAGAGTTTTTCGGTTATCATATCCCTAGAGTGCCAGAGTTTTTAACATAGTATATCCCAAAAGTGCCAGGCATAAAATCAACATTTTGCAAGGGTTTGCAAAAAGATCAATAACTTTTTTATTTGGTAAGATATTATTATGAAACCATTTTTGTTATGTAAGTTTAAAGTTTAGCTATAATATGCACATATAAAAGAAAAAATTCAAATATATATACATGTGGAAATTTATTTTTTATTTTTTTTAATTTTGTAGGTAAATAAACATTGTTCAAAAATAAGATTTTCGCCAAATAACTACAAGATTCATAGAAATATTTCCTGAAATTTTCATCAAATTTGGGCTGTAGGCGGACGAGTTATTCCCATAAATGTAAAAAAATGAAAAAAACTACAAATTAGCACACAAGACAGTAGCCTAACTTTAATCAAGAGTTAAAGTTTCATTACAATATTATTTCATGTATCAGACTAACTAGGCCTAGAATATTTATGGAGTATATGTTCACCTGAAAATATCCTGGAAATGTTATTCAATTTGGACTGCAAAGTGGACGAGTTCGCATAAAAAGCCAAAAAATAAAAATCGCCAAACTTGTTCGCGTAATGTCTGTGTGAGTTAGCATATTGCCTCTTATAAATTTAAGTCACTGAAACTGTTCTGTAAATAAAATAAAACAATAGAAATATATACAAGCCTAGTTTTAGTCTTTATCGAGGTTTCCTTATTCTAAACACTATTTACAACTTTTTCTCTAGTTTTAGAGGCAAACATGTTTCACTAAACACTCAGCATGAACACCAGTTTCACACCTTACACATATTGTGCGGGAGCTTCTCTACTTTCCTTCTGGATGATTTACACCAGAACAAGCTCTGCAAAGCTTTTCCTGTCTCCCTGGAAGTTTTCTAAGATCTAAGGCAGGTCGTGGAGCATCACCGCCGCCGCCATTATCATTGTCCAACTCCATCCACTCACATTTTGAAGCCAACCATTCTCTTGATAATTCTTCTATGATTGAAATAATATACTTGACTCTTGATAGTTTATTTTAAAAAATGTTAATTTTGTACAGGATATATGAATTCAACAGCATTCGGGCTAAAACATTGAATATAACTTTCTTGGCGTGTTTCATGGTGCGTCTTTAATCTAGGTACACATAAAGCATTTGATCAGTGGAGTCGATGCCACCCATCCCCATGTTGTATTGATGAGCTTTTCCAGACTTTCTTTTTATTATTACCCTACCACCCCTTCTTTTTGTATAACGTACATTTTCGGCTTAACAATTAGTCGATAAAATTAAAAATTGTTTAGTGTTTTTTCTTTTCTCTATTTGCCACAATTAAAACGGGCCCTTTTCTCATTTAAGTTTGTTGACCAACCCTATATTTGACCAACAATTGGTAGGGAATCCTCTTCCGGTCAATCCTCAAAAGTTCCAGTGGTAAAAGTGAGTTTTTCATACAACGTCCGAGCTAATGAAATTGTTGTGAAAAAGTTATCTAAATACAAGTGATGTCCCTTATTGAAATAATTACCCATTTCAAGCAATTTTAAAGCTACTGTCGTGGCCAATCCTGTCTCCGTAACTCTTGCACTTTCTTCCTCATTCCTCTTCGCCCTTTATAGCAAAAAAATGCTAAACAGTACCATGTTACAGAGTCTGTTAAGTACCCATAATTTTATACCCCACTTGTGGTGCTTTATCTTGGGTATGTACTGCGTCAAATCCACTCTCTTCTTTGTTCCGACTAAAGACTCGTCCACGGACAAAGCTTCAGTAGTGTAATAATAATGACGAAATAGTTTGTTGGCATGGTCAATGATAGGTTGGAAACGAGTACAGGGGTCGTAGCCAGGTTGTTCTCGAGCAGGTATCTTATCAGTGTCAGCTAAATGGACAAATTTTAAAATAAGTTGCAATCTGTTCCTGGTCATTATTTTTCTGAACCAAGGAGTCTCTTGGGTGAAGCTTGTATCCCAGTAGCTATGTATGCTGGGTTTTCTAATAATTCCCATATTCAGTATAATAGCAATGAATGCCTTCATTTCTTGTAAAGTTTCATTTATCCAGCTATGCAAACGACTGGCTGGACTGAATTGATTTGCCCGAATAAATTTATGAGCATAGCGGTTTGTTTTTGTAACAAAAGTTGTCAACAAGGTAGTTGTAAAGAATAATTTGAAATATTCTAAAGGCTTGCTGTTTTGAGGGGGACAGTGTTTGGGGCCTGAAAGTTCCTGAAAACAAAACTGATGTTGGAATGGATGATCATTTTCTTCATTTACCTGGTCCCAATCACTTGATTCTGGCTCATTTGGTACTTGAACTCGGACTCTTTGCCTACCCCCCTACCTCTGATGCCACCTCTTGTCCTGGGACCCTGTCCTAAAAGCCTAAGATCTCCGCGTCTAGCGGGTATTGGCATAGGCCTAATTGGTTGTTGAATATTATGAAAGTTATCACTATCAGTCTCATTTTCATTTGGTGAATTAGGCCTATTGGGAATGTCATTATGATACAAATCTGTCACTGAAACTTCTGGCGTAGGCCTAGTTTGTTGTGAATCAACACGCTCTTCCTCATCGGATGAAGAACTATCATGCCGAGTTCTAGTTCTGGAGGAAAGTAATAACTCAAGCCTACCTCTACCTCTTCTTGTATCTTCAAAAGATGTCCCAGGGAGCTCTGGATTGAAGGTCGGGTCTTTGTCAGTATCATCAACTTCACTTTCACTTGAAACACTATCGGGAGTGTCAACATTTGAGTTGCCACTTTCTTCACTGTCAATATTGAGTCCAGTTTGTCTCAGATGTTCGAAAATCGTGTTTTCACTTTCGGTGATATACTACGTCTACTACGTTCAGTCATATTTTAAAATAAAAAATTACGACACTGGTAAACTTTACAATAATAATAACTGTTGTAAATAACCTCAACCTCACAAAAAGCGGCAAAAACAATAAATGTCAGATGGCTGCGAAACCCAGTTGCAGACGCCACGGCGTCCTTGATTATGGCGCTAATTCATTGTTGTTTTACAATGTTATGTACTATAATAAGTTAAAAATAAATAACATGCGTTTGTTGCCCGTTTGTTCTTCTTTATTTTAGTGTTAATTATGTAAAGAAATCATGAAAAGTAATGACGTAATAAAAATTGTCCATAACAACAATATATCGTTACAATGTATTTTTCGCTACAACCACCAATGACGATATATCGTCGTAAAGTATTTTTCAGATGTTCCGTGCACAACGATATATCGTTGCGTGGCACTCAAAAGGTTAAATGGACACAAACAAAAAAATATCATATTATATCAAATATTGTTAAACTCTGCAAAAAAAACTATCCAAAAGGTTTTGCAGTAAAATAAAATGTGGGATGGCTAATGCTTGAAATGTTGTGTACACATTGTCACTTTAAGCTAGATAATTATATAAAACTAATATGTTTTATTTAACTGATTGTAGGACCCAGCATTCACTGATAGCATTCGCCATGTTATGGACGGGTCGCTGCCTAGTTCATTGAAGCACATCATCAGCAACTGTGAGTACTACGGGCCTAGTCTCTTCCTCCTAGCTACTGACGTTGTGGCTGTCTACGTGTTCCAAGAACCTGCCTTGTTGTCCTCCCTACAGGATGTTGGCATCACAGAAGTTGTCCTGCATGCCCTCCTTATAAAACATGTAAGTTTTATTTTGATTAAAGTCTAATGTGAAAATTATGTGCATTTCAGGTCGCATTTAAAAGTTGACTGCATTTCAATTTTACAAGTCTTCACTCAAGCCTGTAAAATAAATATTTTTAAGTACTTTTAATAGCTATAATTTTGTTTAAATAAACCCAAATAGCCCATTTAATTGAGTTGATAAGAATTCTTATTTCATTAAGAATTATATCAACTTAATACATTAACTGCCTATTTTACATTTTTGGAATGATTTAAAATATACATAGGCCTACACAAAATAAGTTTATTCCTCTATTTTGTATACAGTACCCTCTTGTCCACATAGTATAAAACATAACTCATATATTTAAGCACAGAAAACGAACTACTATAACCCAGAATGCCAACCGCATGGTAAAAAGCATTAAGCGGTTTGAGAGAGCTTTGCCTGTCAATCCGTAGGCAGCGCCACCAGCGTTGCTATGCTATTGCATGGCGCTGCCTACGGATTGACAGGCAAAGTTCTCTCAAAACACTTAATGCTTTTTACCAAGCGGTTGGCATTCTGGGTTATAGTAGTACGTTTTCTGTGATTTAAGGTACTTAAAAATATTGTTAGATTATATAACAAGTGGGGTATTCAAAATGTGTTTTAACAAACAAAATAATATATTTTTTGTTTGTTTGTTGTGACCTGGTCAGATTTTTGCAAGGCAATAACTGTTTGAATATATTTTCAAGTAAATAGTTGATAGCTTAAATTAAATATATTGTAAAGCTGTACATTTTTAGGTTCCTGCCACTAGAGAAGTACTGGGCTCTGTACCGAATGTGTTCAGTGCACTTTGCTTGAACCCAAGGGGTCTTCAATCTTTTATTCGATACAAGCCGTTTGAAAAACTATTTAAAGTGCTGTTGTCACCTAATTACCTGTCGGCCATGAGACGAAGACGAAGCTCTGATCCAATCGGAGACACTGCCTCTAACCTTGGCAATGCGATGGATGAACTGATGCGTCACCAACCAACTCTTAAATCGGATGCTATTGCTGCTATTATAAAGGTAGGACTTGAATAGTGCTTAAAAAAATGTTTTGTTTAACATGTAACATTTCCTTAACATTTTTCCTAACCCTCTTGGTGTCAGAAATTTTTTGTGTGGTGCCTGTTGATATCCAGGCATTTTGCAGCAATGTTTATTAAACACTATAACAAATCTACTTTGCAAAATAACTATACCTTGTTATATATTTTTATGCAGCTAAATAAATGCACATTAAAATTCAGCATAAATAATTTGGTCTTTATAAATGTTTTATAGTTAAAAAGTACTTAGAAAAAAAATACAAAATAAAAATATGTAAAAAATGTTTTTCCCCTTTTTTTAATGAGTATTAGTAACTAAATGAAACATCTTAAATAGCCATTTATTTATAAATATTGTAGCAAAAAAGAAAATATGAACTTTAGTATGGTCAACTTTGTTTTTAGGATAGCCATGAGTCATAAATATGATAAAGGAATAGTCGTAAAATCACTCACTAGGCCTATTACAATGACTTGTAAGTGGGGACATATAAGTGCACACGGAACATGGCCTAGCGCCTAGACTATATAGGAAAAATCATTTAACACATAAAGAATTAAAATAAAAAAAGGCCTGGAGATACCATTGATTAGTATGGGTACCCACATAGCAAATTCCATACAAATTGAACCACAGAAGTAGTCTATAGCTCTGTACACATCCAATAACACACCCGCTCTATATACAGCTCTCACTTAAAAACCACTTTCCTCCTAGAACTCAAATATTTTGATAGAAACAATTTTTTAATCATAAACTATGTATAGGGGAGAAAGTAAACACTGAGTGGTACAACTCAGTTTTTCCTATAGTCAATAGTGTGAGTGTCCTATAGTCAACAGTTTTCTGATGATTTCAACAGCCTATTCTCTTCTGCATCCTCTCATCCTGTTTTAAAGCATTGGCAAAGCAAGATTTGATTTGTAGCTAAATATTGGTGTTTTGCATCATAGCTCCTCCAAGATCTGTGTCAGCTGGGCCGAGACCCCAGGTATGTTTGCTGGAAGCCACAGAAAGGCAACAATAACGAGTCCCCCCATCCTGCCCCTCGTGTGTCTAATGAAGCAGGAAGTAGTGATGAAGAGGAAGAGGATGAGGAGGAAGCAAGTACCTCCTCCCATCCTCAACCAGCTCCTGAAACCACTCCTACCACAGCATTTAGCGAGAAAACACCAATCGCTCTAGTAGACTACATACTTAATGTGGTGAGTAACGTTACAAATTACCTAGAGTGGGATAGCTTGTTTAAGGTAATAAGATTTTGTTTCACCTTAAATTGTAATTGTAAATTGTTTTTGTAAGCAAATGGATTCAAAATTAGTAAATTACTATACCTTTTCCGATTTACTAAACAGAAAAATAAACCATCACACTGGCATACTTGTAGTTTAGCTTTGTGTAATTATTCCTACAATGAAGCAGTTATTTATCAATATAGGTATTCGCATTTTACATAAATATAATTTTTTATGTCAATAATATCTGAATGTGGCATACACATAGTCTTTCAGTAAATACATTGCAAGGACAGTTTACCAAAATTGATATTTTTCAACCCTCTCTTTTCTCAGTGGTATGTGTCAATCTTTAACTCATTAAGGAAGTAAGAGTTAGGCGAGGACTAGGCGTGAATTCAAGGAAGTCCACAGGTTGTCCATTATTTTTTCCGTGATGAACAATAATGTTCTCAACACCTTAGTCACTGCAATTTTCCGAGTCTCACCTATAAACCTTACCTAAATAACTGTCATGAAATTTTGATAGTTTATTATTTGAAAAATAAATTAATTTTGTGACTAAAATAAATATAAGAAAAATAGTTATAGTTTTTGAACAAGTGGACTGTATTTTGTTTTATTTACATTATGAATCACTTAATGTTTTTTTTTTCATTCTTCTTGAAGTTAAATACAATAATGTTGTAGTGATTTTCTTGAATTTAATTTACACTTTTTCTAATGGATCTTCATTTCAGTTCATTTCATTCTGTCTTCATTTATTTATCTTCATCACAGTCACCAAAGTCTCAAATGTTGTTTTTAAAAGATTTAATTGTTGAGCATTTTTAGAGTAGTAAAACTGCTTGCATTAACAGTGTTGCCAATCGATTAATGAAATATATATATTTTTAGATACAATGTGATATAATATAATTGATGTAATAACATATGATAATAATATTGAAATGAATTGTAATATAAGCTTTAATAATAATAAATTGTAAACATAAACATTGGTTAGTGAATTTTGATTGAGTTAGCCTATTTGGAATAATTTAAATATGAATGACATAAGAAAAACTAATAAATACTTAACAGTAACGATCTACCTCTGAAGGACGTAAATGTTCACGATTCTTAATGCTTAACACATAACCAAAACGTAAACCATAAACAAACTAACACAACACACGTCAAGCGGCAATGGCGTCGTCAACGTCTATAAAATGAACAGATGATGCTTCACAATAATTGAAATAAGAAATTAACAGGTTGACAAATCTACTCAAACAAAATACGGTTGTTCAGTCAAAACATCAACGAAATACATAGAGTCTAGCTTTTGTGTCGCCGGACTCTTGTGTCTTCCGCAATGGGTTAAGTTAAAAGTCCTTGGAGCCTAGCCGTGCTAACTCATAGAACAATTACAAAACTACAAACAATTTCTTATCTAATAGCGCCCTACATATTTAAATTACAATCGATTTTGTTATTTGAACAAATATTTTGGGATGGTAAATAAGTCATGAGTGGCTGTTTGAAATTAACATACAAGATGGCCGTTAGCCTTAAAGGATTCTTGAAGGTTTTGCGATGCGTAGATTTTGTTTCTAAATACTAAAATACTCCCATTGTGATTTGTATGGTCATACTAACTCTCCTCCTCTGTACTAAAAACAGCGTCTTTTAAAATACAGAACAATCTTTTGAGGATAAGCTCATTTGATGTTGGACTCAGATGAAGCCTAAGGTTGGATAGTAACTGGTTTATAATAGACATAAAGTATGCTTTCACTTCACATACCTCACTTACTGTCAGTTATTAAAACCCTGAGTAATCTTTTTATTGAAATAAATCTTGTATTGAAATAGTATTAATTCTTCCAGAGATAATATGCAATGGTATACACATATATTTGTTTGGTATAAACTAAAGCATATGATTGTGTTGACTTTGAAATTTTAATTAAAAAGTTAAAACTGTATGGGTTTAACGGATCTTCTCTAAATTTTCTTTCGTCTTATTCAAAAACCGAAAACAAATAGTAAATTCTAATGGGAAAAAGTCACAAGAAAGGAGAGTAAATTGGGGTGTTCCACAGAGATCAGTCCTTGGCCCACTTCTGTTTTTGTTTTTAATTTTACATTAATGACCTTCCAATGCCAATAACTATTATGCGGATGATACAACCGTTTTTCATAAAAATAATAACCAACTTGTACTTCAAAATTTAGTCCATGTCACAAAATTAAACGCATCCAAATGGTTTCATGTCAATGGATTCCTATTGAATAACTGTAAAACTCAAGAAATAAAATTTACATTGAAACACAGTTCTGCCCCAAATAATGAAAAAAGTCCTGTCACTACAACGTTTTTGGGCCTTCATATTGATAATCAACTATACTGGAATGAGCATATAAATTATTTGTCTACTAGACTATCTCGAGTAAAGTTTCTTCTTGGTCGTCTCAAAGATGTAATTCCAAAGAACTATTTGAGATCGGCTTACTTTGCATACTTTCAGTCTGTAGGTAATAAAATATGGATTGATATTCTGGGGTGGGTGTGAAGAATTGATGAAATTTTAATCCTACAGAAGGGGCTGTCAGAGCTATGAATGGATCGGAGCCAGACGAGCACTGCAAGCCTCTTTTTAGGGATTTAAGATTCAAACTGTAATAAATTTGTTTATTTATGATCTTACCCTTTATATCTAAAAAAAACCCATCACCTAAAATTCAGTATTCATAATCACAATACCAGATTTAAAAATAGTGCCTTATAAGAATCACATTGTCTGAGTAAGACCAGCAAGAGTGTCATCAACTTAAGTATACAACCTTTTAAAAAACAACATTGATGCTTATACACAAGAAAAATTTAAGTCCTTGTTTTATTTTTGACTTTGTCGATGATCTAATGTATCCTTATGACAAATAAAGATTTTTATTATTATTATTATTATTATCAAATTCTAAAGCCTGTATTTTAACCTATTTTTTGTTTTCAGATGAAATTTGTTGATGCCATTTTAAGCAACAATTCCACCGATGACCACTGTAGGGAGTTTGTTGCCCAGAATGGCCTGGTCCCACTACTGTCCATCCTCGGACTACCTAACCTCCCTGTGGATTATCCTATCACACCAGCTGCCCAAGCCGTGGCCTCAGTGTGCAAATCTGTATTGGTACGTGATAAACAGTACAGTCCTTCAAAATTAGCGTGATGCCTGGTAAAAACAGACAAATGTTTAATACAGGCGTAATATAGTACATTTTCCTTTTATTTCTCATATATAAAGTAGAACCTCAATAGTTTGACACTTTGTGGACTTAAGGGGTGTTGAACTATCGAAATGTCAAACTATTGGGAGTAAATGTAGTTTAATATCCAGGAAAGTAAAAACACAAGTTTTATATAGAAATCACCCAACTTATATACTAAAATGCTTAACAATTTCACTGTTCATTAGTTAAGTCTCACGTCAACAATAAATGACAAATTATGAAATTAATGTTCCAAGTCAACTTACATCATGACACAATAGTACCCACTAAATATCACTTGACAACATATTTTTCGATCTTCGATTGTTCGACCGACCAACATTTAATTCACCAGCCACTTTGTTCACACTTTCTCCGTTATCAATTTGTTTTAGTGTGTCTAATTTCATTTCCATCTAAACAAAACACCTTTTCTGTTTTTTTGTCCGACATCTTCAAACACACAAAACAAAACAGTGTAATTAAACTAAAAACTGCGTCGTTTTAAAGAATTTAAACTGAAATGGTTCACGAAATAACTGTGTTTCTAATCACCGGCTGCGACTCAAGCGAACTGATTTGACAACGTGACCCACAGTTGGTGGTGGGGGGAAGGGGGGATGTCCCGTGTAAACAATAGAATGTATATAACTGGAAAGAACTGGTCCCAGTCATTGACCGGCGTACGTATCAAAACAAAATATCAATCGCTAATGTTTAGACACAGCCTCAGCCAAAGGTTTACTCACTGTATGTATATTAAAATATTTTTTGTACAAAAAACATGACCTATACTATAGTCCTCGCCACCCTTATTTGAGGCAGCCCAAGGCCGCACGCCGTATATCTAGTGCGGCTTTGGGCTGCCTCAAGTTAGGGTGGCGAGGACTATAGTTCAAATTTAGAGACAACCTTTCAATCAAGTTCAGAAATATTTATAATTTTATTATTGATTTAATTCAGGTTATTAACTTGAGTTTGACATCAATTTATTTTTGCAGAACTTAGCTCACGAACCTCAAGTGATAAAGCAAGGCTTAGCCCAGCTCAAAGAAGTTTTGGAGAGGTTGGAGCCTCTTTGTAATAAAAGCAACCACCATTACAAAGGGTCCATTCTGCTGGAGGAACTGGCCAAAGCTCCTTGTATGGACACTGCTTTCTCCACACCTTCAGCCACGCCTTTACTGCACGCTATGGCTGCTGTTCACGGTTACGTCATTATGTTCGTCCATGTCTGCCGAACTGGACAGGTAAAGTTCAAGTCAACATCTCTCCTCTTGAACTTATCCTTATCAACTTGTCTATAAACAAATCAAGTAATCAGTATGCCACTAGAAATAGTTTTAATCTTTATGTTAGTAAACTGTTTTGATGATCAATTTGAATATGTTCAACAATCTACCAGTAACCATCAGACCCTCCAAGAAAGACAAATCTTAATTAGAAGTTATATGCAAATATTGCAAATGCAATTGCAAAAGATTTCTAGTAGTATGTACCACTTTTCTTGGACTTGGTCTATTCGGACTCCTAACGTCCGAAACTATAGTAGTGTACTACTTAAAAAGGATCACTCGACGAATGAAGGTAACCTAAACCATTTAGCCTAATAATATTTACCTAATAAATTGATTGCAGGTTGACATTCGTCAAATTTCCATGACAGCTTGGGGTACTGAGCCTGGGGTTAGTGTGTTGAGAACTCTTGCGGATCTGTACACAGCCCTTGTATGGGAAAGCACTGTTTTGCTGGCACTTTGTAGCGAGGACACCAGCCGAGAGTTTACCAGAGAAGACATCTCAAAAATATACCCTGCCTCCATGATGAGATTGGCACGTAAAACTTTGGCGCTATATTTATTTATAGACATCTTTTTGAATAGTATATTAACAAAAGTTTGCTACACATTCTTGTAATTCTATTGCTCTAACCAACTTTTAGAAATTCAATCAGAAAATTATTTTTATCAATTTAAATTAATACAAATAGTAACAATTTAATAATAAAAATTAAAGAATAAACAATTTTAATTAACATCAATGTTTTAATATTTTAATTATTTTAATTTAATTACTTGGTGTCTTCCATACAAGCTACTGATTTGTATTTACCGCTTTCTCTTACTTCAAGAATATGTCTTACCTGGAGATGTACAAAGTATCACCTTACCAGTATTTTATTTAGTAGGCCTAATATAAGTAATCAAATTAAATTTTATTATCTTCTGTACCTGACTGAAACATTTCATCGCTACAAAATCCAAAGCAAATTGTCTTGATAGATTCAACAGGGTGTCCACAGTTCTTTGAACCGGGAAACCGGGAATTATGCATCAATTTCGTATTTAACCGGGAATTTTCAATTTGCCGCGATCGCGCATGAAGATGACTTTTCCGTGACCGCGAGAGACGATGATGATGTCCAAACGGCCGTGGGATTCGTTATTGATTTTGCCGCGATCGCACATGACGACGATGACGTTTGCGTGACCGCGGAAGACGACGATGACGTTTCCGTGACCGCGGGAGCAGACGATGACGTTTCCGTGACTGTGGGAACAGACGATGACGTTTTCGTGACCGCGGGAGACGATGATGACGTTTCCATGACCTCGAGAGACGAAGATGACATTTCCGAAATCGTGAGTGAAGACAATGACGTTTCCGTGACCGCGGGTGACGATGATGACGTTCCCGTGTCCGCGGGAGAAGCCGATGATGTTTCCTTGACCGCGGGAGACGACGATGACGTTTCCGTGACCGCGGGAGATGACGATGACGTTTCCATTACCGCGGGTGACGACGATGACGACTATGACGTTTCCGTGACCGTGGGAGATTACGATGACGTTTCTGTAACCCTGGGAGACGACGATGACGTTTCCATGACCGCGATATAACATCACGATATAACCTCGAGTCTGGCTTGACACAAAAATTCAAAACGACACACTTCTAGAAAGTTTTATTTTTATATTTTTTGTAATATCTGCAATTACTTTTATCGTGGTATTTGTTTAATGTGTTTGGAAGGTGGAAGGGTTTAAAACTTAAATTGGCTACTTGAAATTGTTGTAATTTCTGCATTATTTATTTCTGTATGTCACTTGGAAAACAACCCATAACTTCAAAATTACATACTATATGAAAGTACGTAAAGACACTGGTTGGTGTAGTAATCCTTTCAGAAAATTTGGTAAAATTGAAATGATCAGTCAGTATTAAGAATCTATTTTTAAGGTGTCTGTACAGAGATTCGATAGATTTTGGTATCAACATATCACTATTTTTAAGTAGTTATGTATAAATTACAGGTTTAAGGATTAGTTTTTAATTTTCGGATTATTTAATCAGTAATATATAAAAATTGAATACTTGTGTCAGGCAATATTACAGTAATCATAAATTTTGTTTCTTTAACTGAGAATGCTCTTTCTCAAAACTAAAATAGCGAGCTGTGTTAGCACTAAAACAGCATTGCGAGAGTTGGCGCGCAAAAAACTTTGGAAATTTAAGTATGAAAGTACAAACTGAACTACCGGGATTTTTTTTTACTCATGAATTTTTTCTGGTTGGCCAGGTGGACACCCTGTTCAAGTCTTAATTTTGAAGTCTTACTGTTAAAATATCATGTAATATATCAAATATCATGTAATATAATACTGTTTATTTTCATATTTATGATTATGTTTTTGTTAAATGGTTACCTAATGATAATAAATTTAGTCGTTAACCTATGACAATTTTAGCAGGCCGAGTCCATGGAAGTGTCTACCGAAGGCCAAGACTTGGGAATGGAGGTAGATGAAGACAAGTTTAAGTGCTCGGAAGAAGAAAAGATCAACAAGATTAACAGCAAACCTTCCCCTCTAATACCACAAAACATCAAACTCAAATACATCAAACCTCTGCTTGGGGCTTCCTCACGTCTAGGAAGAGCTTTAGCCGAACTATTTGGTCTACTGGTCAAGGTTTGTGTTTGTCTTCTGCTATACAAACTGATTGGCCCTATGTATGAAAAAATGCAGTGCTTGTTGAACTGGATTAGTTCAATTTTGATTCTCTATTTTAAACTCGTGGTTTCAAAATCTAAAAAAAATAGAACATTTATGAATTCACTCTAAAACTAACTCTCAAATACAAAAAATATGGATTTTGTATGAAAAAATCTGGTTGTAACCTTAGGCATTTAGTAAAAACCCTTTCCCGAGGAAACTGTGTTAACATTTCATAACTCTCAGTACCTCTAGATCCAGATACGTTTTTACTAGGGGTGTGCGATGCATCGAAAATGCAACGAAATTCAAAAGATTGATGTTTTAGACTGATAAATTTGGTATTTTTGTAGGCCTGCTATAGTGCTATAGTTAGGTGCTATAGTGCTATAGTGCTATGTATACCTTGTAGTTTGCAGGTCTGATTCTTTCCTCTCATTTTATCACTGTAAACCAATTGAAAGTTTCAGTATAAATCTTGCAAATGTTTTAATTTGTTTAAACCAAAATGTATCTTTATTTGTAAAATCAATATTATAAAATAGGTAACTTGCTTAACAATGAGATTCTGCAAGTGAAAATTATGAAATAGGCAAGTAACGCAGCTCACTGGCAGTTCCAGCAATACAGGCTATTCTAATATATGATTGAAAATAAATATTTTTGTACCAAAAATTCATATATGTCATATGTATGAATAGGCCTAATACCACATCATCAAACATTTTGTTTACACAAATGTGTTTAAATTTTAACTTAGACTATTGTTATTTCACTCAATTGACAAGTATGTATAGAAAAAAGCCGTATCGCTTCAATTCAAGTTGCATCGATTCAAATCGAAAATCTTTTAAATTGAATTGTTGTTTTGAATTGGAAATCTTTTGCTGCTTTGCACACCCGTAGTTTTTAATCAAAGTCCGAGAGTAGGCTTTTTCACATTTTACAGTTGTGGACTATTTTTAGTCCTGAAAAATGGTGTTTGGGCAAATTTTAATTCTTTAGGGCTACATCTTACAATTGTCACATTGCATATGCAGTTGCAATACAGCCAACTTGATGAAAACCTAAATTAAATTTCTAATACCGGTATGTAAACCAGCAAATATTTATTTTCCTAAGCAAAACTCATACAGTTGGTGCTAGAAAACTACTTTTTCGTATGGCGTGACAGCCTGTTTAAATGTAAATTTTTGTCAATAGACTTAACAACAATAGATCACTGCTGAGATTTAATTATTAAAAGTACTTGTGACATTTTGAATTCTATAAAACCGTTTTCAGCAATCAACTTGTTGGCTTACAGGTACATAAGTGTATGCAGTTGATTAAATTTTCTGTTGTTACAGCTATGTGTTGGATTTCCAATGAGAGCAAGACGAGGCAATCAGTTGGCCAATACCACCAGTATTACCCCTTGGTCCCACTCAGTTTCAGCTGCTCTGGCAAAACTTCTCTCTCAGGGCCTTAACCACCAAAACCTGCCTAACTCTTCTATCCCCAAGTTCAAGTATGTGTAAACACCTTACTAAGCTGAAAAAAAGATATACGTCTATAACACTTGTAATTATATATTTACACTTACACTGTTGAGTCACAAGACGGTAAATACAATATAAAAGGTGGTAAGTGGTAATGGATAACGATTGGACACTCCAATCATCATGGGACCCAATAGGCGAATGATGATTATGATTGGCAGGGCCTGATTAAGGGTCTAGTCGCCAGTAGGCTGACGTTGTTCGCGCCCCCTCCTCCCTTCCACTACCCCTCCTCTCCGCTACCACTTTCAAAATTTCAAAGAACGAATACTTATACTGAATTCAAAATTAAAAATGGCCAAAGGCATTATACTATTATTCAGTTTATTTAAAAACAAGAAAACTGACTTGTAGTTTTCTCAAAAGTTCATGGGTACTTTGGGCTTTATATATGGATATAATGATTATGAAAATCTGCCGAACGCACCCTTCCCCACCTCCTTCCCTATCTGCGCGAATCCTTTTTTGGAATAAAACATTTTTTACGCCCCCGGTCTCAACTTTAAGTCTTAGCTGTCTGGCGCCCCCCTAAAACATTTGGCTGACTGGTGCCCTAGGCTCCAGCCTAATTAGCCTAATGGGTAATCAGGCTCTGATGATTGGAGTATCCAATCAAAATAGGTCTCCACTTACCACCTTTTATATGTATTTGCCGTCTTGTGAGTCAACAGTATAAGTGTAAATATATTATTACAAGTGTTGTTAGACGTACATCTTTTTGTTTTTTTCGGGTAATTGAATAACACAAACGATGCTGATCAAGAAGTTGTTCACCTTACTAAGCACATGCCTAAAAGTGGCTATGAGAATTATTTAATCATTTTGTTATTCCTTTATGGGGGTTTCTTTTTTTTGTATTTCCTCACAGCTATAATGTTTACATACCTGTAGACTATAAACATAGTGTTCTATGTTTTAGCCAAAACATTTCCAAACCTTTTGGTGAAGCAGTAAACATGTATTCTGTACATGTAGGAAGTCTTTTTATTTTGGTAATTTTATTGAAGATATACACACTAATCTAATAAAAACTAATACAGTTTGTAAATTTTGTTTAACAGTATTAAATAAGCCAAACATTTTCATTGACAAATCCTCATTGACATTTTAACTTGGAACATTTTTGTTATCCTTAGTTTGTAACAGATGACCAACAATACAAAAACTCTGAAATATAAAATATTACCTGTTTACTTGAGTTTTTAGTGGGTTTTAAAAGCATTTTTTTTTTAAATATTAATACAAATTTAAGGGGTTTTATTACTGTAAATCCAGTCATTATGAACACTGCCTCGTTTGAGTAACTTTTGCCTATTATTTCAGGTTGACATACTTGATTTGTTCTGTGGGATTCACACAGCCAATGCTTTTTGATGAAAAACGGTATCCATACCACCTTATGCTGATGCAGTTTGTGCAACACGGTGGCCTTGTGGCTTTCTTCGAGTATGTATACTTAATTAATTATTTAATTTGTTATAATTATTAAGTTTAAACTAACAAGCAAGCCCCAAACGATTAAGTATTTCTTATACACTTGAGAGTCTTAAATACTGAAGACCATCTTGAATTTGAATCTCTTTTAAAGATGTTATCTTCAGCACATTTTAATCACGCCACATGGAAGAAAGACAGTATTGCCAACAAAACATGATTATAGCATTAACATTATGTTACAGTATTTATTTTTGCTCAAAACAGATGATTTTTTCCAATGATATGATAGGTTACGTACCTTTTTTATTCCGTCGTCAGTCCTAAAATAGTCAGAGGGTGACTAGTTTCGGGTCAGAAATGACCCATTTTCAAACCCATTTTCATCAAATCGATTGGTCCAAAATCCGACAGAAGTCTTCGTTATGAGGTACAAACACATGTCGACACATAAAGTTCACACATTTACGACACAAAGCACATTTAATGAGAGTAGCCGGCTACATTTTATAAGAGACACACTGACGCAGGTAGCACGGCGGACACGACGGATATAGTACGGATATAGTGACGGATGTAGTAATGTTTAGATTTTTTCCAGTTTGTCTTTTATGATAAGTGATATGAAACTAAAGTTTAATTTTAGCGAATTTCCCATACAGGGTATAAGCTATTACCATAGGTCTCATGGTAAGACCTGGACCTGGGACCGGTTCACTTTTTCATTTTAATGTCTCTAGAGGCCTAAAACACCATCCGTTCAAATTCATATATATATATATATATATATATATATATATATATATATATATATATATATATATATATATATATATATATATATATATATATATATATATATATATATATATATATATATATATCCGTTAGCATGATAACTCTAGCAAAAATGATTCGGTTTTCAATGAAATTTGGTACAAACGTGTAAACCTACGTTTATTCTAACGAGCTCATGAACCAGCGTGATCGAACCATGCCAAGTTATGGGATAAAAATTGGTTGTTCTCGTTTTTGACCCTCAAAACATGAAATTCCCCAATTTCTCTTTAGGACATTTCAAAGAGCTTAAAAAGCAAATAATTTAGTATATTGAAGTTTTTTTATGGTTATTGATTGCGGAGAAAATTATAAATTAAAAACCATGTTATTTTTATGGAGAATAAGTAAACTGTTGTAGTTTGCTTGTTTATGGATATATTTTGATCAAACTTTGCAGATCTATTTATTTTGTTCTAAGTTATTAATGTCTTATTAAAAAAACCCATTTTATTACCCTCCCCTGTGGGCAACAAACCTAGGTAGGCCTACTCGTTAAACCTAATATTGAAATAGATTTAATTGAAAATCAAATCAGGAAAATAGAAATTCGCTTAGTCTGCAGGTTTGCTGCGGCAGGTGTATTTTGTTAAATACATTCTTCATTTTTCTACGTAGTCTTGTATTAAGATTGATAACACATTTACTTTTAAAAATTCTTTTTTAATGTCAAATCTCTTTGATTCAATACCAGGCAAAAAAAACTTCTTTGAATTCTATATGTTCTGTTCAATACACTGCTGAAATAGACTTTTAGGTTGTTGATTTAGGGATAAAGACTCTATGAGGCTCTAAATGTCGTTAATGGTTATAAAAATTACTACAACTTAAAGTAGAACCTCGATTAACGTGCTGGGGAGCGAGCTGGCGTAGTGGTTAGAGCGTGGGACTTCAGTCTGTGAGCTCCCGGGTTCGATCCCAGCCAAGTCCCCAATGGATTTTATCTAAATGATGATGCACAATAAGCTTCGGTTGACGTGCTTGGACCTTGAGTCCACCCTCACACAATCAAGTGATAATGCCGTAACCCCTAGGTCTAGCCTGAAGTAATGTGAAAAACAATCCCAGGCTCGTGCCTAGCGTCCTAGAAAAAAAGAAAAAAAGAGGTGCGGCAGATCAATTGATAGATATCTCTAAAATTACCTTACATAACTTCATCCAAGTTAAATACCTTGCTTTGTCATTACAAATATACAAAACAAATCTGTCGAGTTTTTTTTTATCATCACAAGTAATATTAATAATGCCTTGTCAATTTGCAATCTTTTTAAAATCATAGGATTATGTTTAACAATTCTCTAAGGAGCCATCAAAATTATAGTTTTCTAAACTGTTTTTCATTTTTTTCTCATATTAAAAAGGAACATTTTTTAGGACTTTCAAATGGGCACTGAACGGAGGAGACAAGTTTCCAGCTGAGATGGATCTTAATAACACCACACTACCTGAGGGAACTGGAGAATTTCTTGACGCGTGGCTCCTTCTATTAGAGAAAATGGTCAATCCTAAGGCCATACTAGAGACAACGCATACACTGCCATCTAAATCTCCTAACAACAGTTTTAAAACTACAAGTTTTGATCCCTACAAGTATTTGCAACGAATCACTAAGGTCAGTATTAAACTAGTTCTGAATAAAGAAGTATTTATTGAGAATATAGATGAAGAAAACACAATAACTGGCGAAGCAGTTTGAGACATCTTGTGTATAAATGCACTGGAGAGAGAAAACTCTTACTTCCAAGTTTTCAAATATTTTAACACAAATGAAATTTAGGTAACCAATAAGGATTGCAAAACTTGATGATCCGACAAAAAATTAGTATTTCTTGTCTGCAGTCGATAAGTTTTTTTATGTGTGATGAAAGCAATCTTTTGTCTAGCTGGAATTGATCACTGTTATCAATCTTGGCCAATGGTATTGAGAACAAGTTTTACTAAGTAAACCCTCCTATGTAACAAAATGGACATTCTGGCATTTCAGTGCTAAAAAGAGACTGTTTTGGCCTGTTGTCCTTACTCATGCATGCACCATTGAACAGGCACACCTAATTTTTTTTTAAATTTTACCTTCAGATAAGTTAAACCACTCCCTTGATCGTTCCAAAACTCGTCCAAAACTAAATCAAAAGGTTCGGGTCTTTGTTTGATCACTCCCTCCACCTCTTACTCTTTGTCTGATTCACAAAAAGCCGCCATCACCAATAAATCGATCAATTTCACTTAAACAAAGACGTACATCGCCACCTGTAATGTTAGTAAACAAACAATAACAAGAGGCAGACGGCTGTATCATAATATTACTGATTTTCGCCAAAAAATCTGAGCCAGTCTATAACGACTCCAACATGGTAACACAGATTGCCAATTGTTTCTAAAACTAAATCAAAAGGTTCGGGTCTTTGTTTGATCACTCCCTCCACCTCTTACTCTTCGTCTGATTCACAAAAAGCCGCCATCACCAATAAATCGATCAATTTCACTTAAACAAAGACGTACATCGCCACCTGTAATGTTAGTAAACAAACAATAACAAGAGGCAGACGGCTTTATCATAATATTACTGATTTTCGCCAAAAAATCTGAGCCAGTCTATAACGACTCCAATATGGTAACACAGATTGCCAATTGTTGCAGCTGAAGGTAGTGCTGGCATCTGTAAAGGATTAAACCGAACTACTTCGGCCGTGGTCGCTAACTCCAATGTATTGGGTGGGCCTCGCGCATTGTGGCGGTTGGTGCTCGTTGAAGTAGGCCAATGGGTTGAACCTAAACATATTTGAGTCTTCATATTTGCAATAAATGTTCTACATACAAATTTAAATTTTGATTTATTGGTTTATATTGCTAATTTTTTTGCTGGCTTGGGAATGTGGGTAATTATATTGATCACGGACGTGTCGCTAAAAAATTTTTTTTACTATTCTTATGCTAAATTACGTCCTGAATTCAAAAATGATTGTCATTTTCATCGGAAAAGCACCGTTTTCCCGGAAAATCGGAAAAAACAAAAATTTTGCGGAAATGGGTCATGTGTATACTCAAATTAACCGGTAAAGCGAGCTGAACAAGAATATGCAAGATTTTTCAAGATCCGATTACTATTAACGGAGATACGGCAGGAAAAGCGTCGGTAAATCGAGTTAGCGTCAAAATGGCCAAAAAAGGTTAAGTTAGGTTAGGTTAACCTAATATAATCAAGGGTATAAAGAATATATATTCACCAAATAACCTCTAAATCGCTCCCACAGACAGCAGCACCTACGGATCCTCCTGATGCCGTTCGTTGTTCCTGTGACTAATGAACTTTTCTGGCCGCGCTTTTTCGGCCGTATCTCCGTTAATATTAAATCTCCGGATTAAATCCCGTCCCGATAAAAACCGGGTTCAAATGTAATCACGTCCTGATGATCGGGAATATATTTTTCCCGAACATTTCCCGCAATTTTGGAACCCGTTCATCTCGACTCAACACTGTATTACTGAGTTCTCTGCACGTTTCTGTGTTCAGCACAAGATCTGCTCATCAGTCAATTGCATGATGATAGAGTTTTTAATAAAGTTTATATAGCTTTGACCTAAGTTTTAGCCTAAGCTTTAACCTATACACTAAACTTGTTTTAAGATGCAATCTAAATTTTTTATAGATGGCCTTTGATGCCTTGTCATTTTTGTGGGGTCGCAGACCATTACCCACGTATGGAGCACGGATGACTGAAACAATGCTCACCATTTATCGTCATATCATTCGTGGAGGGGAAATGATTGAGGTATGTATGAAAATGTCTTTGCACTTTGAAGTAAATCAAATGTTAAGGTTATTAAAAATAACAAAGCCAGATGCACATTTTTATTCTATGGCTAATGGAATTTTTAATAATTCTCATGGATAGGGCCTACTGAGATTTTGTTAGTGCTATATTTATGTACAGTATGTTGCCTCACATGATAAGAAGAATATATTAATTTCCGTAGACTGTCTTATTTTGTTGCGTATCTTAGATAATTTACCTCATAAGTGGGAAAAATAATAAGGGTAAAACAGCATACAAAAAGAATAGTGATGGATCAGTTGCTGATTTTTATCAGTTCGGTTTTGGTCGGTTCTCTGTTTATCGGTTTCCCCCTTAAATCACTTACTTAAATACAATTTTTCTGTCTACCCATGCAAAGTTAGTACAGTAGTCCTAAAAATTTAAACTGTAAGTTAACTATTATATTTCAAAGCAAGATTAGATTAGACAACATCCCCTTTACCTCAGTAGGTTATGGTATCGATAGGTACAATTCACAATTGTCTTATTTTAAAATTTAAGGTTACAACTCAAGGCTATATTCACTAGTCATATTAGGTTGTAATGTTGTTGAAAACTGTTATATGATAGGTATTGGAAACACCAGTATATTGTCTAGAAATTTATTTTTAAGAATACCAACATCTTCACCCATTCAAGATCCAACCTGATTACATACTGGGTCAACAATTACCTTAAAAATGCAACAAAAGATAATTCAACAGGAGCAATTGAGTGGATAAATAATTAACAACAACAAAAATCATAGTCATATAGTGATAATGAGTGTGACACTTCAGCCTAAATATCTCCTCAAAACATTCTCGAATTAGCCTAGAATACTTCTTATCAGTTTCAAAATTAATTCTATGTTTATTTTAATTTTTTTAAATGCACTGTATGTGAAAGAATTTAATTCCTTACATTTTTTTGTTAAATCAGATTAGATATTTATATTTTAATTCACCACTAAGCAAATTTGGGGGAGAGTGTGTGCACACATACAACAGTAGTAACTTTCCTGGAGGAAAACCTGATCTATTTAATGAGATTGTTCAATATTATTTATTTTAGAGGTGTGCCAGTCTGGAATTTTTAATTGAGCCTAGATTGAGCCCAAGTATTATTAATAGGTCCAGAGTTGTTAGGATTTTCAGAAAACTGGATTTAATAATAAATTGTTGTTATGAGTGATTAAAATATTTTAAATCAAAGTTAGCTTACATTTTTCCAACACTAGTTAATGAAATTTCAGTTGTCATGGTCATATATCTGCCTAGATGAACAGCTACACTCCTTTATAATATCTCTGTATTATGTTTTTGGTGATTTCAAATTAAGTCAAGAGGAAGATTTCATTTTTATATTAAAAACTTATAAGTAAGTAAGCTGTAAAACCACTCTTCATGAGTTTTGTATTCTTTTGGAAACATTTCAAAGGGAAACGTTCAAGCTCGGCTTAATTTGTCAGCCTAGTGCTTGATTGCTCAATCTTAAGTTGCAGGCTCGGTACACCTCTTATTTGTAAAAAAAAAAATTGTTTCATAGCCTTATTTTGAGGTAATGAAGAAAAAGACGGAAGCAAAGAAATCAGATGATGAAGTGACTTCTGATTCCTTCTGGATTCTGATTTCCATGGTTGATGGCTCTGACGACTCTGACTTGGATGTCTCTAACGATGACTCGTCTGAATCGGACGATGACTGGGATTACTCTGACGATGACTCGGATGACTCTGATGATTCGGATGACTCTGACTATTCAGACGGTGACTCCTATGAGTCTGATGATTCGGATGGTGACTCCTATGATTCTGGAGACTCAAATGTTTCACAGGACTCAGACGTGATAGCCAATGGCCAAGATGAAGAACAAGCTGAGAGTTCTCGTAAAAGGAAAAGAACACCAGAACCGAAAACCACCAGAGCACTTAAAAGGAAGAGGGTATTTTTTTTAGTCCAGAATTTACTTTAATAAGCTTTTCAGCATAATAGTCAGTCAAATCTTTCCAGACATTGTTGGTAAAATATAGTAATTGCAGGTAAGTTTATATTTAACATACACACAAACATCGAATTGATAGATATGTTTGTAAGTCAACTGATTTTAGGAGCGAAAGCAGAAGGAGAATAACGAGCCTCCTGTTCTCGTAAACTCAGCCACTGGAGAAAGCAGACGCAACACCAGTGGTAGGGAGAGGCCCGAAGTAAATTCTGTTGAACTGAGCCAACTAATGGATATGGGCTTCTCCCGGGAACACTGCTACGAGGCTCTCATACTTACCTCAACTCTAGAACATGCAACCGACTACCTACTGAACAACTTTTTCCCACATAATGTACAACCCCCTCAAGTCTTGGTATGTGTGTGAATGTGCACTTTGTAAATGTGGCACGTGTGTAGCTGCTTGTTTCATCCCTAGTCGTTTGTATGAGACTGCTTAACCCCCTTTAATTTATGTCCTTTGTTTGGTTCATGGTGTAACATAATTTAGCAATATAGTTAGTTGTACAACAATCTTCATACTCAGTCACCATTGGTCCTTTGTAATGTTTGGTTTGATTTTTTATTTTTTCGTGAAAGACTTTAGGATTCAGTCATCTACCCTTTATTTGTCTCGTTCACTCTGAATTTGTCTGGATCGCTTGATTTGTCTGTGTCATGAGTTTAGTACTTCAGAATATTCATCAATCTACCTAGATTCATTTGTGAATGCAGTATAGTATATTGACTAGTCATCCCATTCAATGGCTGGCTTTCTTGGTGATGGTTAAACTTATTCCTATGTTTTGCTTTATAACAACACCGTGTGGGGGTAAAGGAAGTTGTCGGTGATTTAAATTAATATGCTGTAATTCACCAATATCTAATTATAACACTTGAAAATTGCAATCTATTTAAATTCATATAATATTTCCTTGGGAGTCTTTGTATTAGCTTCAGAACAGTAAAGGGATATACGATCAAAATGAAACCAAACTTAAATTTGGAATATCCGTGCACCTCTACTTTAAACATGATCTGGTTAATAGTTTTTTTTTTTTCTTACGCCAGTGGCATTTTAATTGAAGTCAGAGTTAGTTTAAACACTTTTAAGGGAACACGGTCCAAACCCTTTAACGTTTTGTGAATGTGCTGGGATTATTAAAAAAAAAAAAACATACAATTATTAAGGAAGCAGGATGAGTTAATTATTATTAATATTAATTATAATGATTAAAGTTTTTATAATTATAATTATTATAGTTTTTATAACTATAATTATTATAGTTTTATAATTATAATTATAAGTAATTAATTATACATTTTTTGTTAAAAGTTAGAGAAAAACTTTTGTTGCCGAAACTAAACAAATCACATTAACGAGCGCATGAAAGTGAATAAAAACCAATATAACTAATTAACCAGCTTATTAACTTTTTTGTTTGTTAATTTGGTGAAGTAGAAATTGTCAGATTTTAATGGTTTAAAGTTTACTAAACAATAAGCTTTGAACATTGCCATAATCTATTCACTGAATTAAATTCAAAATCCTGACATAGGATATTTATCTAATTTAGGGTATTAAAAGTAGCATTTGTCGTACTTCTGAATTTCTTTATTAAAATTATCAGCGTTACTATCTTTTGGACTCTCAGGGAGTGAGCTGGTCTAGTGGTTAGAGCGTGGGACTTCGGTTCCTGTGGTCCTGGGTTCAAATCCCGCCAATCAACAAAGGATTTTATCTAAGTAATAATGCCGCAACCCCTAGGTCTAGCCTGAAGTAATGTAAAAAACAATCCCGGGCTCGTGCCTAAAAAAAAAAAAAAAAAACTCTTGGACTCTGCCTTTGTTGGGGTAGTAACTTCTTACTGTCAGTTAACTTCATGCAGGAAAGAACAGGTCTTTGAATGAATACATACCTCTCAAGCCTTTTAAATGGCCCAAAACGGGTTTGGTTTAGCCATTTTATAGTTTCTCAAACTCTAACGTAATCTACCACTACTTCTTAGGGAATACCTTGATACATTTCAAACCCAATCCCATGTAAATTATAATTTGAGTGTGTATATTTCACCTTTTTTATTGTACAGTTTGTTTTCTGATACCGTAAGCACCTCGATTATTCAGGGGCAGGTCACAGATCAACTGTGGTCAAAATATACATCAAACATTGAGTATCAACTAGCTGTGGCCCTGTCCTACAGATGGGAATCAAGCTGTCAAATTTTTTATTCAGAGTGTATAATCAGCTGGCTTATTACATTAAGGCAAATTCTGGCAGTTTTAATGTGAAAAATCTATCTACTGTATTAACAAATGTCACATGGCCACCTATTTGTTTTTGTCTAAAGACCTATGATGTGCATTTGAAATTCAACAATTTTACAATGAAACAGCAACATTGTCAATGTGAAAAGCATCAACGTGAGATTGGCGGCCGATTTCACAATGGTGCATGCATACCATACTATCACGTACCTAGTCTCCCAACAATACGCCTACATTATCTTCTATCACCTACCTCATCTTATGTAGACCCCAGTCTGGAGATGTCTTTCATTACTAGGTCTTCCCGCTTCATTCTTGGTCTTCCAAGTAGTTGTCTACCTTGTAGTTATACTTGGAATAGACTATTTGAACGGTATTTTCTCTCTTCTTCGCATGGTCTGCCCATTTTAGCCATTTACTTTTGGGCAGCACCACTATTTCTTGTTTTTTATATATTTCCTTAAACTATTTGTTCTTTCATATCCCCCAATCTTTGTTTATCTTCAACTGGTCCATATATTTTTCTCAGCAGTCTTTTCTCATACCATATTTTCTCATAAGCATATTTGAGTTTTGTAATGGTTTTATTATTTTCAATTTAAGTAACATCAATGCTAGTTGATAATTATAATCAACCTACATATCAATTAATTTTCAGACTTTGATTTTTCAATGGTGAAACTGCTCGTAGCTTATCACTAGCAGTAGCTTATAACAGATTACAAGCTTCACTGGTTTGTCGCTTTTTGCAAGACGTTCAATGGCTTTGCGTTATTTGTTGCTATACAGTGTATTGCTGGTAAAAATAAATATTATGATTGCCTAGTATTGTTTTTGTTGATGTAAAAATGCTAATTAGTGACATAAATTTCTATATAAATAGTATTTTAGTGTAATGTTTTTAGTTTTTGGTATTTTTTTTACCATAACTGTAGTTTATCGTGGATTGGTTATCTGTAGATCCCTCCCCATAAATACCTAAGATAATCAAGGTTCTACTGTATGACTATATTACATGTATTAACATTTCTCTAGACTTCTTAATCCCTGGTTGTATTGATTGTGACTTGTAGTTTGCCTTTTTGATTTCGGTTTTATTAATGCAAAGAAAGTGAAAGCTTTAAATTTTGAATCCCAGACTCTTGTGAATCTTTCATACGTCCAACCATCCTGCTGTCGAAAGTAGTCAAAAGTTCATTGGGGGTACCTAATACCACACTCTGGGGTGTCAAGCTTCAATACATCAACAGTAGTGCAAACTGTTACATAAAATCTTTCAAATCAGCCGATTTTGCTGCGATTTGGACTTAATTTATGTCACTGTTAAAAACAGGAAACTACTTTCTCTTGAGGTTCTGTCTTGTTTGGATTGCATTTTGTTTACTACCATCAATCTACGCATGGGTTGTGATGGTGCAGGGGGCGGCAGGTGTGGATATTAGATATTTGACCCTAATCTCCTACTGATCTAAACTTAAATTGCAAGTTCTTGATATTTAGGAGGATTCAAGATTTATTCTGGACATATTTATATTTCAAAGTAATGTAGTTTCAAGATTCTTTATTAGCCACCAAGGCAACATGCACATGAAAGCGTTCATTGCCCCGCAAAGCTCACTTCAGAAAATCCTTAGCATACACATGACAGGTTTACATAGCACTTTGAATCCCGTGCTTAACATTTTGGTTCCAGTATAGCCATAAAAGTTGTAAAAGCTGTCTTTTGTTTGGTTTTTTTTATTAGAGATGTAAAGAACAAAGACAAATTTTAATAAAAATTACTAGGGACATTCAATTTTACGTGACGTTAATGCACAGGTATTTTGTCAACCTTCTACCCTATAGTATTAGCAAATTCGGAATGCCGATGGAGGCAATGTAGGTTCACTCACACACAAGCAAGACCGCACGCACACAGGCGCAGGGGATTAGGACCGGCCGTATTTCCGCCCGTTAAATATTCTATTGTACTTAACCAATCAAAATAAAAATATTTTTAATTGTAATTTTATTTTGACTTCTTTATTATTTTTTAACTCTTTACATTGTAACAAGTAAAATTATACTAAACAACATATAGTTACGGTAACTGTGTATTTACCATTCATGTATTAATAATAATTAAGTCGGCCGATTAACGAACAAACACACATTTGTTTGTATTATGATAACTAACAATACAGTATAAATTTTTTGTTGTTGCAAATAATGAATATTTATTACATACCCGCTTTTAAGTGGAGTTTTCGGTGAGGCTTGACTAATGGGATTTAAAGACCGAGCCACCCCAGCTATTCATCGGCCAAGCAACTTACCCTGTCCTTTACACCAGTGAGTGGGGGTGCGTGCGTGCGATGGGATTTGACCTGGCATTCATCGGCATTCCGAATTTGCTAATACTATAATATAAGTAAATTTGAGATGTGTCTCGTAACTCTCTGGACAATGGTATATAGCGCTATTGCTTAGGTCAAGACAAACACACTACACTACAGAAACATGGGTCTCTGGTGCATAGTTTCTAGTTTCCCCATCCATCTGTCTGTAGGCCTATGTGTTTTTTACAAAAACAACCATAACTTCTAAATGGTTTGTAGTACAGCGTTGAGATTGTATACAAATGTTTATATTATTAAGATGTACGTTTTTAAACAAATGTAATAAAATATCATTGACAGTATCAAAATGGCGGCCATTTAAAATATACAAAGAATTGCAGGAGACGTAAAGTTGTTAACCCATTTTACGTAGATTTCAATGATACCTTATTATTTAGGATTGAATAAAGAATAACAGATAAATTAGTTTTTCTCTAATGCATGGCCCCTTTTTCCATTTAAACAATGCTAATACTCCTTTTACATTCTCTAAATAACTTTTTATCTTTCTTTTTTTTAAAGAGGTTGGCGGCCTCTTTTAACCTTGCATTTGCCTGTCCACATAGACTCGTGCGTGAAACATATCCAGCAAAGCAAGGGGTGAGCTGGTACAGTACAAGGATGAACTGTACTGATAAAATGATAAACTTCAAGGTGTAAATGGAGAAATGATTATTCACCTCAGAGACAATAGACAATAGACGCTTTATTGTACATGACGCCTGATACA